TAATTTGAAGTTAAAAATGTTATGTATTCATTTTTCATTAACGGAAGAGATTTTGTCATATAAACAAGCAAGAGCATAAACAGTGGAGTGATGCTTGCAAAAACCATACTGATTGTCAGAGATTGTTATGATTATTAAGAAACTTTTAAAGACCATTGTACATTACTCTCTGTAGAATTTTTAGAGAATGCTGGTAAAAAGACACTGGTCTTTCTGCTTTTTTATTTGTAATTTTAAAAATTAGAAAAACTGAGACCATGTTCAAACATTAAACTTCATGTAGGATTAGAAAAACACGCGAAAGCGGTCGGTCGTTTTGTTTTACTTTGATGGAGAATCAAATACAACCAGCATATAAAAAGCCACAACATACCATCTTTGTTTCAAGGTCGCAAATTATGCCAGTCTTCTTCAGAGACACCCAAAAATGTATGACTCCATTTGTATGACTCCATTCGTTTCTGACCATTATTTTTCTTATATTTCTTTTTTAGCAATGCTTGTTTCCTGCGATGTGTGGCTATCGCTTATGACAAGGACAAACCCCAAGGATCAAAACAACGAGACAAACCTTATCGTCTATGGCTCTCTTGTTGGGGCATCATTCATATTTCTCATCATTCGAGCATTTAGCTTCTATCTGGTATCTTTACGATGTTCTGAACGTCTTCATGATAAAATGGTTGCGGCTGTTCTACAGGCACCAGTCGTATTCTTCGATTCAAATCCTGTGGGAAGAATTATGAATCGGTTCTCTAAAGATATAAGTTGCATGGATGATGTACTACCTAAAACGTTTCTGAGAGCAATCCAAAGGACCTTGCTGATGATGTTCACCTCAATACTTCTACCAACCGTCATAAACCCTTGGCTTCTGTTTGCTCTTACGCCAATAGCTGTGTTAGCGGGAGTTATTTCAAGATATTACTTAAAAGACATCAAGGGAGCTGCAAAGGCTGGAGTCAGTTAGTCGTAGTCCAGTCTTTTCTCACTTTTCAGACACTGGATGGACTGGACACAATTCGGACGAGAAAAAAGAAAAAGATTTCCTGGATGAATTTTGCAGGTACTTTACTCATTGTTTTTTTTGTCTTTGTTGTTGAATAATTTGATATTTGTAACCTGAATAGCTCAAGTTTGAAATGAGTAACTCCTGGATTAAGTAGTCAATCAATTAGGTACCCAGGAAGCTAGTCAATTTGTAAAACGATCGCCGTGTGATTTCATCGGGGTGATTGATGTGTTGCTGCCATTAGGTCTCAGTTATCTTAACTAGGTTGTTTTGGTAACGTTTAACTGGGACGTTCACCTGGGATTTGGACATGCTAGTCTCTCAGATTATGACGCCTTTTTTACATTCTTTTTTATCATATGACAAGGCGTCTTAACGGAAAAGATTTTTTTTCAAAGAGTATTCGAATGTGAAAGATTTGACAGCGAAATCGAAGTTACAAAACTAAATCGTGCATTATTATTGTTCCTTTTAGTTATCAAGATCTTCATACTAAGTCATACATTATGGTTTTTGCCAGCCAGCGCTGGCTTGGTGTACGCTTGATTGTCTCTCCGCTCTTTTGACTGCTGCAAACGGCTCTTGCTTCAGTTATTGTATCACAGGATGCTGGTAATTATACTTGCATATGTAATCAACAAATTAATCCATGTTTATATGAGCTGCTAAATTTCTTAGAACACATGAATCTCCCAGTAAGGCTTTTACTTCTTGTACAAATCTAAAAATTTGTTTACCGACATAGAAAGACTATGTTGACAATGGGGCCTTTTTCTTATTTTGTGTTAAGTTATAAAATTATCGTGTTCTACTACTGCTGCCTCAAAATAAAATACAACTGCTGCTTTTTCAAAGCTATAATTTGCTTATTTGTCTTTTGGTTTATGATAACATAATGGAACTAACAGGTCAAGTTTTCTCAGTGTTTTCACTGCTTCAATGTTTATGAAAAAGCTACTTCTGGTAAAATAGCTCTTGGCAGCTACTGAATAATACATGTGGGTCGACATTCTCTTCTTGAAATGCAACTAGTCCCTTCGGTACCCCTAGTGAAATCTGATATATAGCAATTTTAGGTTGCTAAAAATAGATAATTTCTTGCTACGCCGGGTCCCTTGGATTCAGCGGTCAGTTCTTAAAATTACTAAGAGGAAACCAACCACCGTACTAGGGGTGTGATAAAGCTTTGCACCTCGCTTTCCCGGTTCGCCACGTAGTGCTTGTATCAGGAAGAAAACCTCCTGGCGCCCAGGGTAGCGAGGACAGGTGCCCAGAAAATCCTCTTGCTAAAAAGGGGGATGGAAATTGCACCCACCCCTAGCCTCACCTTAGCCCTCTTAGGGATAAGTTCTCGAATGCTTTTTGGAACGCCAGGCAGACGTTCTAGGCAGAACAAAATCCGGTCGATTGTTCCGTACTAACAATTGGGCAAAAGATTGTTACTTGTCCTGAACAGGATAGCATTTCCGACCAGGGGCCCGTTTCTCGAATGTCCCGATAGATTTTCGGGACCGGAAAGCTGTTTTATCTTGGCCGTGTTTGCATTCAAGTTCAAAGTTTCAATAACTATGAAAATGATGCAATGAAACTATCAGTTAAAGAAGCAAAATTGATTGGTTTGTGAGCTAGGAACTGTTACTATTCAACTGGTTTATATTTTAAAATTTGCCTTCCAGCCCGAAAAGTTTGCGGGCCTTTCGAGAAACAGGCCCCGGCCAGGACATAATAACCGAAAAATTTACCTTATGGTTGATGAACCATAGCTTAATAAACGTATTCACCTGGTTTTCTTTTAGCTTTCACCGGTCTGGCATTGGTTTATGTAGTTCAAAGTGTGGTTTGGACTCAGTACGCAGTTAAGAAATCAGTTGAAGTCGAAACTCTGATGACATCAGTTGAGCGAGTAATGACGTACACCGAGCTTGAACCTGAACCTGGATACAAAGTGGAACGAAAACCTCCGGGAATCTGGCCACATGAGGGTAATATCGTGCTCAAAGACGTATGCCTGACCTACTATCCGGGGGGTCCTCAAAGTTTAAAGAATATTACACTTAACATCAACGGTGGAACTAAGATCGGCATTGCAGGTCGGACGGGCGCAGGGAAATCTTCCTTCGTGGCGGCACTAATGCGCATGCCTGAACCTGGTGGAGACGTATTTATTGACAATGTCAATATAAAAGACATCACCCTCAGAGAATCTCGACGAGCAATAACCGTTCTTGGACAAAATCCTGTCCTTTTTAGCGGAACGGTGAGGCAAAATCTTGATCTGATGGAGCAATTTGAAGACGCGGAACTATGGCGAGCTTTAGAACAGGTGCAGCTGAAAAGTCTTGTAGAGAATTTGCAGGGTCAGTTGAATCATGAATTATTGGAGCACGGTGCAAACTTTAGTGTTGGAGAAAGACAACTTATCTGCTTGGCTCGAGTGCTGTTGCAGCAAAAGAAAATCGTCATTTTGGATGAGCCAACTGCACACGTGGATCCGGACACAGAACAAACGATCTGGAATATAGTAGACGAGAAATTGAAAAATTCTACGGTTATCACTGTTGCACATCGTTTGAACACAATAAGAGACTGCGACAAGATATTAGTTTTAAAAGTGGAGAAGTCGAATGGTTTGATAGCTTTGATGTGCCTGTGAACAGAAAAGGGCGAATTTTAAGTAAAATGGATCATGTACCCGAGGAAGCCACATAAATACTCATCCATCCACATAATTGCACTGACATTTCGAGGACGTCTCTTATGTTGCGTTGATCATGTAGTTTAAAAAAAAAATGAGGCTACTAAAAGATTCATGCTGTTGACTTTTGTAAAGCTTTTGATCTCCAGTATTAACTTACCAATCGTCCCATGTAAGGGAATCCAAGACAGTCTAGGATTCTGGATTCCACGCCGTGGATTCCGGATTCCAGATACTAGATCCTGGATTCTTTGTTAGTGGAATTGGGATTCCGGATTCCTTGAGCATCATTCAGAATTCCAAAACCCAGGACTAAATATTCCACAAGCAAACATTTCCCAGATTCTGGATTTCACAGGGAAAATTTTCCTGGATTCCGAAATCCAAATTTCCTTACATGGCGCGATACCAACTTGTTATGGCAGGAGAGCGGCAATTACAAACTTGTTGTCTCATGAAGGTATCTTTAATAACGTTCACAAGCTTCATCTGATTGATACTTCTGCCTTTCAGCCCCAGCACTTATCTACTTCGAAAAGGGCAAATGTCGAGCCTTTCGTCTAAAGACTAATCGATGATTGCCAACAACGCGTCTTTTAATAGTAATATTTATCGTCTATTCACGCATCAAACAATTCTTATCTTAACATACTTACAGTAGTTATCGTCATTATTTATAAATACGTTTTTTTTATCGTCAATATTTTTATCACAATAGTCGCTAAAGAAGTGTTGAAATTTCGTGAGAAAAATTATAATCAATGGCAAATTCGAACTTGCTACTCCGCAAATATGCCAAATAACCATGCCCAAAGGTGCCCCATGAGAGATTGTTCTTACTCAATACTGTTTTTGCTTGCCTGAAGCTGGTTCCCCTAGTTAGTTCTGTAGCTCGAACGTGTAGCAGAGTAGAAGGGGTGACAAAATATTTCAGTAGTTAGCTTTGTATTAGCTAGATTAACAGAGGGTGGATTCATCTGCAGCATACAGGCATCTTGTCTTGTGAAGATTCACTTAACGGGTAATTGGAAGGTCAAAAAATATATATATTAATCGCCAATAGTTTTAGACGTTCTACAGGCTCGGGTTGTTCAAACTTTGGATAGTGCTATCCACCGGATAAAACAATATCTACCAGATAAGTATTAGTGCCTGTTTACAAGGAGAGAAGGTTACCCCTTGTGCTCGGGTTACCCTAGCAAGCGGGTGAAAGTTAGCTCTGGTTTACAAGCAAATTTCTCAAGTAGGGTTACCCTATCACCCGGGTCAACTTTACTAGCTTTGCTGACGTGTTTCGTCATGCGTGACATTCTTTGTAACGGTCCAAGATTTGAAATAATCTTGAAGTTCACGAAAAAACAAAAATCTAAATTCACGAAAAAACTAAGGGAAATTTTTATCAAAGTAGACAGAAAATAACATTTTATTTTTCAGATGTTTATAATTAAGCTCAGAAATTGGATAATACCGTTTAAATTGGCACGATTACATGACGGCGGAAAGTTGACCAAGGTAGGCGGTTATCCCTAGCAGAGCGTCTACAAGGCAGGTAGGGTAACCCTCTTGCTAGGGTAACCCTAGCACTCAGGCAGGTTACCCTAGGGCCAGGGTAACCCTACCTGCCTTGTAAACACGTCGTGTGAAAAAAGAAGAAATATGCGAGTGCTAGAGTAACCCTCTTGCTAGGGTAACCCTAGCACCAGGGTTATCCTCCCTCCTTGTAAACAGGGCCTTAGGAAAGCAAATCACCCTATCCACTCATAGAGATTTATCCAGTGAACAGTATTATCCACTTTTCGAACTACTCGGCCCTGATCTAAAACTCGAAACAAAAGCTTTTAAAGACAAGCGTACTGTTTCTCAAGGAGAAATAATCCTGAAACTAAAGAAAATTATTTTGCGCCGCCAAAAGCAATTAAATGAAGGATGATCATCGCACTTATATACGCAACTTTTGCAGTTGCGAAAAGAAAGCCTGAAAAAAATTCAGGCTTGTAAGCTTGCGTATATAACTGCGATGATCATCCTTCATTTAATTCTTCACTCTGCAGTTCACATATATGATTTTCATATATTCAAAACTTCATCATCATCCTTTCACGGGTTTATAACGAACCAATTCAACGACCTGCTCCTAGTTGGCAAGTTAGTTTAATTGGTAGAGCGCTGCACCGGTATCGCAGAGGTCAAGGGTTCTAATATCCCGTACAAGCCAGGATTTTTTTCAGGCTTTCTTTTCGCAACTCTAAAAGCTGCGTATATAACTGCAATGATCATCCTTCATTTAATCCTTCACTCTGCATTTCACCTATATGATTTTCGTACTCCGGTGAATTAAGGAATGGGTCCTCGTTGCATGCGGAGTTTTATGACTTGGTCTTGTTTTATCCAGTATCTTCCTTTATTTTATTCTTAGACCGCTGTGTTTAAGACCAGAACCACTTCGGACCTTAAACACTTCCTTTTTTTAAGATCACGTGACCAGTCACGCCCATAATTATGCAAAATTTGGACTTTGCAGATTACACCAGTTTACTGAATGTGACCACAATCGTTTTTACTTCCATAATATTTCGTTTACAGTCAAATAAACTAAGTTAATCGGGGATTTGTGAAATGATCCATTCCTTCGTAATTAGTAGTTATTTTTCTCTCGTCCCAGTCTCCCTCTTAACAAAAAACGTTATAGTTTACAAAACGTAGATAATTTTACAAAACCCCGATTAATTCCATAAACTTTGTGTCAATAGTCATTGACAAAAAGTGAATTAAATTACCACACTTATTTATAAAGTGGTGTAAATTTGGATTGAAATAAAAAGTCAAAAATGGGTGTGACAAGTCACGTGACACAGATAATACATTAGTAATAATGAAAAAATGATTGCTTATGGGGAGTAGATATTGAATTTAAAATATTAATTCACCGGCGTATATTCAAAACTTCACATTCAAAAACACATGAGCGAAAACAACTCAGTGTACACTGTACTGCTGTACTGTTTTTCACTCACTCATTAGGTTAGCATCTTTTTCCTTTTAATCTAGTTTCCGGCTTCTTTTTTCTTTCCTTATTTTTATTATTTTACTTTTTTAATTTCAGCCCCCTGTGAAAATAGCTTAAATAGTTTAAAGAACATGTATTTGTAATTATTTTTGTAATTATTTATAAAATTATAAAAAACAACAACAACAACTCAGTGAAGCCAACAGCAGTCGGTAACTTTTGTCTTTGCTTTACGGTGCGTCAGTGAACAACATTCGTTACTTCGAACGAAGAAATCGTTTGAGAATTTCAATCTTAAGACCTAACAGTGAAAATTTGGCGCTCTTTGGAGGCCCGTTCTGGTCAAAGTCGTGACAATGATTGATTGATCTCTGTTATGGCATTACCGGCTATCTCACGGATCTGCTGTTGGACAGTCAAAAATTAATGCTCATTACCAAAAGTTAAAAACAATTCGCAGTACCATTGAACGAATGAAAAAATTTTTTTAAAAAAATCAGTATATTTGTAGAACTATAAAAAAATAATAAGACTTAAATAAAAAAAATAGAACCTGATGATAAAAATAATTAACCAACACGCTGAAAAAAAAATGTTATGAGGTGATGACAACAATACGAAAAAGGTTTATAGAAAGTGTTCCACTGGCAAAAATACTGGAATAATTTTGACCAAAACGGGTCTCTATGGGTTATTACTGAATTTTTGTTTCGCCTTAATTTTTTGTTACATTAGAAATGGCCTCCATTTGTTTAACCTCTACTCATTTCCAGTATCTCTCGGTCAAATTTACTTTGTTTTGATTTTGCATTGACCTCAACTAATCACAACGCAGGATACATATATCCAGAAATCAGAAATGGATATCTCCCGGACTGCTTGCATGGCACTCAGCAGTAGCAACAGACTAGTGCCCAAAAATCCTCTTGATAAATAGATCTTAAAAACAAAAAAACGGAAAGGGGAGGGGTGGCATGCACCCCGCCCTTCCCTTGTACGTCCGAGGTTTAAGGCGAGGGAGAATTTCCTCGAAAAAAAAGGTTGGGCAATAGATGGTTTAATTTCCTAAACAAGGCAGCTTTTCGCGCTATGGGATAATATCCGAAAACTTTATTTGTGTTTTATGAACCATAGCTTATTGAACGGATCCTAGTTTTCTTTTTAGCCTTTACCGGTCTGGCATTGGTTTATGTAGTCCAGAGCGTTGTTTTGACTCAGTACGCAATAAAGAAGTCAGTTGAGGTCGAAACTCTGATGACATCAGTTGAGCGAGTAATGACGTACACCGAAACTATCCTAGAATTAATTTCACAAATATTAACCTATTATTATATAACTAATATCATGGGTGACAAATTACTCCTTAATTTTGGCGCGAAATTTCAGCGTTAATTTATAATTTCACATGTGAAATTACAAAATTGCCATGGCAACCGTTCCCACGCAGCCAAAATGGCGTCCAGGTTTGAAGATGTTACAGATTCTGATGTGGCGGCATTAAAAGACGCTACCGAAAACATGAACACCCGTAAAAGCACAGTTAACTGGTTGAGAGTTTTTGAGAACTGGTGTGATGAAAATGCCCACGACAAAAGCGCTGAGAAGCTTACTCCTGAACAGCTGGATAAAGTTCTTGAGCGGTTTTATGCCTCTGTCCGTAAACAAGACGGAACCGACTACGAACCTGGCTCCTTAAAAGTAATGCAAGCAGCACTTGACCGCCACCTGAAGGAAAAGGGTACTCTTTGTCAATTATAAAGGACGGAGAATTTTGGAGTTCTCGAAAAGTGCTAGAGGAAAGGCGCGTAAGCTGCGAAACGAAGGTAGAGGAAAATTGCCAAATAAGTCACGAAGCCTAACAAGAGAAGAAGAAGAAGTGCTGTGGGAATGTGGACAGCTTGGAAATTCATCTCCAAGGTCCCTCCTCTACACAATGTGGTGGCTCCTGTCACAGCATCTTGGTTTACGAGGCTGCCAAGAACACTACACAATGAATGTGGAGGATTTCACGCTTAATAAAGACGACAACAGCAACGAGTTCATAACATTCGCAGAAGGCCCCACAAAAACACGGCAAAGAGGATTACGACTTCAACCAAGGTCTGTACTACCTAAAGTGTTCGCAACTGGCGACTCACGATGCCCTATCGCACTTTTTAAGAGTTACCTGGCCAAGAGGCCTGAAGATTTAAAGTTATGTGGCCCTTTTACCTGGCGTGCATTGACAACCCATACCAAAACAGATGTCTGGTACAAGAAAAGCCGAATGGGTAAAAATGCTATCAGTAGAATCATGGCAACTATGAAAGAACACTCACCCTTACAGGAGATGTGTCTAGACAAAAGATTGTCTAACCACTCGGTCCGGGAAACTGTGGTGAGGAAGCTAAAAGCTAGTGGAGACCCAAAATCCGAAATAATCACAATAACTGGCCATCGACAAGAACAGAGCGTGGAAGCATATGACTCCGAGAACGAAGAACAGCAGCGTCAACTATCTAACATCATTGATGGCAAAGAACCCCAGTTCAACCAGACAACCAGCCGAGTTCCTCTTCAGCCGCTTATTCAGTCAAGTGCAGCTGTTAGCAGTGGCCAATTTCCACAATTGTAATGTGGTGATAAACCAAGGACAGGCTTACGCGTCGTCTTCAATGCCATCTTCTAACACCGAGCCGTAAGCTTCAATAATTTTGTCCACATTGATTTCCAGCTATTCGATTGACTTAACGCTCTTTTGCCTATATTATAACTTGGCCTGTTTGCCGTTTGTTATTAACAGTCTGAAAACATTTTCAAACACTGACATTAACTGGCATTTACAGCTTTAGCGGATTATTGATCGCATTTGACCCGGGCTTTTTTTTCAAGTTCATTCATGACTTTTGGCCAATCATGAACAAAGAAGGGAGACGTCGGTTGATTTAACTTTGAAACATTTGATGAAAAACAAAAATGAAAAACAAGAACAGTTTAAAGGCCTTTTCCAAGTTGTCTGTACTTTCAGAAAATAGACTGAAAATCAAAACTTTCCGCACGGTACGCTTAGTTAACCTTTTTTTAAGCTTGGAATCCTTGTTTACAATAAACAATTTTAAAAAATCGCTTCTTGTGAACGTAATTTGTCACTCAAAATATTAATAGGTAATCAAATGGTGAACTCGTGAAATTGGGGAATAATTTCACGCGCGTTTTGTCCAAAACGCAAGTGAAATTATTCCCTAATCTCGTCACCATTTGATTACACATACTTATTAAATATTAACCTTGTATGCAGTATATAATAAATAACTAAAATATTCAACTCCCTCGAGGCAATCCCTGGTTCAGGACAAATTCAGCGAAGAGTTAAATGAGTTGAAATTTGTCTCATCTTCAATCCCTGGTGTTCTAGGCCATTCCACATGACTGTCCCCCGCTAAGAGCTCGCTTGGCAGCTTCAGTACGGGGCCTGGGTAGAAAATCTTTGTTCGAGGCTCCTCGTAACGTTGTAGGAATAAACCCTCAAGGTTGCTGGTTTGAACAAGTTCTCCGCTAAACCCTCAGGATAAAGGTTATTCCATGTTATTCAGAGATTTAAAAACATTTATTGCGAACTGCTTAGAGCGTCTTTGTTCAAGGGTATGCCATCCTGATTAATATCTTTCGTGACATATAATTATGTATTATAAACAAGGCGACAAACAGCTTTATGGTCTACTGATTGTTAATAACAGACCGTATTGTGATCGAAATTATGTTTTTTAATGCAAAATTGAAGAATGCCATCAAAGTACAAACCTCTAATTCCTTGCACTGTGGCAAAGGTAAACAAGAGAGCAAGGTAGGTGTACTTTTTTCTGATCATTAATTTTGAAATAATTTTGTAAAAGCAAACAAAATTAAAGAAACTAAGGGTAATAGTGTTCAACGGATTTGAAGGATCGGTAATTTCTTAACCTATACTGGCTACGACATAACGTCAGTGCATTCAGACCAATTACTTCGGACTACGTTACTGGGTCGAATCGCATCTTTTTTGTTAACTCGTCGTCTATAAGGGGATGCAATTCTATGGATTGATCATTACGACTGATCGATTCACTTGATTACACTGACTAAGAAGGGTAGATACCATAGTGATAGTGCTTTCGGTGGGAACTGCACTTTTAAAAAGGCGGAGTTGCCCAACAGCCTCGAAGTAGCAACTGAGCAACTGTTTACAGTCCTTAAAAATCCACTATACGGTGGCTGCCCACTCGCTTTCTGAGATAGGTTTTAGAAATGTTCGCTGTCGGTTATTAATAACTCAAACTTTTAAACTCGCGAATTCAGAATATCTTGAAATAGTGAATATTAATGAAATCATATGAATGTCATATGCAAGGAAGATCCTCTTAGTTAAAGACGTTGCTTCTTTACTTGCCAAGACTGATCTTCTTTGCATTTATTAAGTAAATTTCGTCAGTTTGATTGAATAACATCGATCATTAATAGTTTATCAAAATCTTCAGTAGGAATGTTAAAAAAAAAACTTGCGTAACAGCACAATTAACATGCTGGAAGGGGCTACGAATTTTTAATATAATATTGATGAAATGATCCAGTCGAATGCACTTGAAAGATGGACGATCACCGCAAGCGATCTGCGAGCTGTATGGAATTATCAAACACTTAACGTGTAAATATGTCAAATCTCCCTACAACTGATAGTTTTAAAATAACCGTAGTTAGTAGGGGAGACTGGTTATGAAAGCCGGCAAATATCAATGTTGAAAACAACGGCAGGATTCGCTCAGTCGGTAAAGCGTTTGACTGCAGAGCGGAAGGTTTCGGGTTCGATTTCCGGGGCCGGACTATTACTACTCAGGGTCTTAAAATAATTGAGAAATGAAGGTACTCCCTTTGCACTGCAAGCAGCTGGACCTTCTCGCGGCTCTGGTGACCACGTAAAATGAGGTCCCGTCTCCAGTAGGAGACGTAAAAATCGTGCTAAATACATTGACGCGCAGCTAAAGCGCATTTAACGGTGCTGTAGTTTATGTCAATAGCTCCCCTGACCGTGTCCGATTCTTTGTTTGTTTCTTCACAAATTGTGACTGAGTAAATTAATGCGAGTTGTTATTGGTCAGTAAGTTCAAAATGATAGGAAGTAGGAAGACCATTGAACGTTGTCAGCACGGTCAGGTCCAAAAAGCTGACAAAAAACATACAACAAACTAAGGTGTCTAACAGGTTTCATAGCCATTTCGCTTTAATAACTACGGTGTAGCCATGTGTCTGTAGTTTGCTATAAAGAAAATTATCCGCAGATTTTCTATCTTTGTTCTTCGACATTTTAACGGGGAGTAAACTATCCAGAATCTCCCGTTCTTGAAGTTAGTAATTCCAATTCCACCTATGCCCTCCTCCCCCCCCCAACCCCAAGAGCAGACCTGCAGACATTTCACTTTTTTTGAAAAATTTTGGTTAAATTCCCCGGTATGTTGGCAGTTTAGATGGTCAAATGCCTCTCCGCCTTTAGAAAAACTGTAACGATCAAATTTGTTAAAACCGTTTTCAAAAAAAAAAAAATGTTTTCGCGGTTTGTTTACATCAAGCCTTTGTATGCGCCAATCCTGCAATCAGGATTCTGAAATAGGTTTTGAGTTCAACACTCAAGAAATGGACAAAAGGCCTATGAAAAAGCGTTATTTCGTGCCCTAAGGGTCAGACTGCAGGGAAAGGGCATTTCCTTTGGCCCACATATTACTAGTTTATGGAATCGTTTATTCGATATTGCGTATCGTTGTTGTAGTGTATGGATAAAAAAAACAGTTCTCTGTTAGAGATAAGATGGTGAATTTTGAGCCAGGTTAATGAATCAGAAAGATGTCTTTTTTCTTTTTTTTTTTCAATCAGTGACCTAGGCGACTCGGAAGAAAAAATTCGAGTACTCCAACAGAGTCGAACTTACATTGGTATGACCTTCTACTCCAGATGCTCTAAGCTATACAGGAGACTCTTGGAAGCTCAGGCTGCTAAACTAGGACCAACATCCTGTATACTGTTAGAAGGTTAGGACTAGAATGTCGATATGAGAAATGAGTAAAGATGAGACGAAGAGTTGGTGAATTTTGAGCCTGGTGAATAAATGAAAATAAATCAAGGTCATGGGTTCGACTCCTATACGCCACTTCCACATTTCCCATAATGCACCTTATTTGCCTCCCAAAATTTTGCATACAATCTAAATCAGAAAGATCTGTTTTAGCCGTAAAAAATATGGCCGTTTCGTTGAGTAAAATACAGTCCTATTTTTGAGTCTAATTTGGCTCCTTAAATCAGGGCCAATACAGTCCAATTAGCTAGGATTGATTTGGTTCCAGGGCTGAAATGGGCCCTACCGTGGTCTGGAATAGCCTTTTGATTGAGCTTTCTTGGCCTAAATTGTGCTCAAATGGCTCCAGGAAGGGCTGAATCAGACTTTGGCCTGAAGGGCTGAATTGACACTTTGGGGCTGAAACAGATCTTTTTAATTTTCAGTGTAACCTATGTTTTTCATTTCTCTTGCGTATTACAGCCGTCCCAAGAGACTTGAAAACAATGCTTATGCAAAATGTTTGGGTCAAATAAGGTGCATTATGGAAAACGTGGAAGTGGCGTACTGTGAGTACTCGTTGTCACTGACTGAAAGAAAAACATCCTATTCCATCTTTCTCAATAGGTAGTTCTCCGGTAGCAGATAGATGTTTCGTAACATTATTAGCAAAGAAATGAAAGCAAATTTCGGGGAATTCCAACAAACAAATTGCGAACTTTCGTTTCAGACGAAAAATCGGCGAAATTTCGATGCATGTATTGTTCTGACGCCGTGTAAATAGATGCAAAATCTCACAAAGAAGAATTAATTGCTGTGAGAACTTGAAGTTTCTTCGTTATTCGGACAAATGGTTTAGGGTATTAAGACAAGAATAACTGAAAACTGGTTAAAATTTTAGTTTTGAGAGCCAGTATCAGTAAAGAATACGCTCTTGAAATAGATTGAAATAGTCTCACCTCTAAAGCTGTACGTGCGACTGAAGTCTAAAGTACAACGACCGTAAACCAGAGAGTGGAATCAATTGGCCTTGCTGCGAGAACTAGTTTATACTGTAGGGTATTGACGCGAGAATAACTGAAAACAGGTAAAAATTTTATTTTTGACAGCCGAAGATATCAACTTGCCCAATATCAGTGAACATAATAGCCTCCCCGCAGACATTCTTGGGCGTGCGTCACGCGTTCCTTCCCCACGAAGCGGGGAAGGAACGCGTGACGCACGCCTAAGAATGTCTGCGGGGGAGGCTATGAACATAACGCTCTTGAAATGGATACAAATTCTCACCTCTAAAACCGCACGTCAAAGTGGTCCGTCTTCGCTTCCATTACCAGCGAAATTTCGCCGATGCGAATTTTCGTTCTGGCCTAATTTCGCCAGTGCAAATTTCACGGCCCTGTCATGCGACAAATCGGCAAAACGAAATTTCGCTTCTATGGATGCGAAATTTTTTGCTTCGCATGTTGGACGAGGTAGATTATCCCAAGAGAGATAAGGAGAATGTGCAAGTAACTCAGCGACGCTCAGGAAACTATGTATCTTCTTACTATAGAAATAGATAACGGAAATAAGTAACGGTAATGCATGTTGTCAACATCTGAGACGATATAACGCCTGGCGTTATCACATGATAAAATGATAAAGGTTATAATTTGCATCGGTTAAAAATTTGCTGTTTTTTTTTTCTCTAGACCTCAGAAAAATGGTAAAGAATAGGTACAGAAAGATTGCCACCTCTGCACACTCGGAAAGCGAGAGCTTTTTCTCATCTCTATTTTTCCAGTGGATGAACATTCTAATAAAGATAGGGAGTGAAAGAGCTGTTGATGAAAATGATCTTTTACCTCTTAAAGAAGAAAACACTACTTGGTTTTTGACAGAGGAGCTTCAGGCAAAATGGAGCGAAGAAACAGCTAATAGCAAAATACAGGATGTTAAACCAAAACTCTGGAAAAGTGTGTTGAAGATGCTAACAGCGAAGGACTTTTTAATCCTTATTACAGCTGGCAGTCTGAACACAGTTGGTCGCATTCTCCAACCACTGCTTCTTGGATACCTTCTAAAATCCCTGATTATTGCAAGGCTAAAACACAATTATCTTCTCTACGGTTGTGCTTCTGCGTTTGGGATAAACGAACTAATCAGTTCTCTTAGCATGCACCAGTTTGACTACCGATGTGAGGTGCTTGGAACCAGGATTAGCAGCGCCCTTAAAGGATTAGTGTACATGAAGGTAAAGAAAAAATTTAATAGGCACTTTAAGGGGTGTCGGTAAAACGCGGGTTTGGGGTCGGGGCCGAGGGCGGGGTCGGGTCCTATCTCTTCTTTTAAAGAATGCTGTTTTAGGGTTAGGGTTAGGGTTAGAGTTAGGGTTAGGGTTAGAGTTAGGGTTAGGGTTAGGGTTAGGGTTAGGGTTAGAGTTAGGGTTAGGGTTAGGGTTAGGGTTAGCGTTAGCCTTGCGACTGACCCTAACCCTAACCCTAGAACAGTATTCTTTAAAAAAAAAGTTAGATCCCGACCCCGCGTTTTACTGATACCTCGGACTTTAAGCACCGTTAACGGCAACGGCGACGGCGACGCTTTCAATAGTTACTTACAAGGACAACAGCAGCAAAACAAGAATAAAACTAAGCTAGTAGCCTCTTGTTTACCTCGATCGGTCTTCTAATTTAATTTCCTCCTCTATGAGAAAAACAATAAAGGCCTCTGTACATGTATGATCGTGATATCAAACCGATGGAACCTATAGTTTAGGCTTATATTTAGGCAATGAAGAGGCCAACAGGAAAGAAAATTATTCATTCAGCGAGAACAAATTGTTCATAAAACTTTGTTGGATGTCACATAGAAATTACGTTCCTGTAAATGACAGAGTAAATTCATACTCGAACTAGACATGATTCACAAAAATCAAAGATAAAATGTTCCCAAGTTCCAATCAGATTCATCATCATCATTATCAGTCCTTATCATTATCACTAAGCAATCAGAACAAACGCATGAAAGGAAAACATGTAGCGATAATATTGTAACGATCCACATACAATGTAATAGCATGATGAAAATAGTTATAGCTATTTTTGTTAGTGATGACTTTATTCCAAGATAAATATATGAACTGTTTTGCTTTTTTGCAGGCGCTTCTCCTTAACAAGGATACATTGTTGAGGTTTTCAACCGGTCAAGTTATTGATCTCGTATCAAATGATGTCCAGCGAATAGAGGGCGACACTTTTCAATTGTTTTTCTGGGAATTCGATCTATCGTGGAGCTCTTAACAGTAACGTTTTTTCTAGTCTATCTAATCGGATGGCAAGCTGTAATGGGAATCATTTTACTTTGTATGTGCCTGCCATACGTTGCTGGACTGTCCTATGCTGGAGCTGTACTGCGCCTACGTACAGCCGCGGTAACTGATCACCGCATCACGTTGATCAATCAGGTTGTTTCTGGGATCCGCGCCATCAAATGTAATGTGTGGGAGGATGAATATAGAGGCAAAATAAAGAACGTCCGAAGGTAATGAAACTTTTGAAAAACACAAAATAAAACTGAGCTGCTAGAAAGGTACTGCGCAAGTAAATTTTACATTTTATGAAACCTGCAGTACAAGTTATACAGAAGTTATTTAATCTCCATAATCTTTCCTGGGTATATTACGAGCCAGTTTATTGGCTGTCCAGCTCCCAATTGGCCTGCTCCCTGGATTAGCTATCTGCAACACCGGCATCGCAGAGGTCAGGGTTCGAGTCCCGGCAAGACTGGATTTTTTCAGGCTTTCTTTTTCGCAATTGCAGAAGTTGGAACTTTAACTGCAAGGACCTTCACTACATTTCCTCATTCCGCGATTCAAATATATAAATTTTATTATTATTATTATTATTAACGCATCGGTTACGCTCATATTTCATCGATCGATTTGAACACCAAGAATTTTGTAAAAGGTAAAAACACATTTTAAGTCAGTGCATTGAATTATTTACGGCAAAATCAACAACAATCATCGAGGATTTTTCAATTTTGAAGCGTTTAACAGCAAAAAGTCACATGCTAATTCGGAGTAAATTTAGACAGTTTTTAAACAGACTGAGCTATTGTTAGTCGTGTAAAGTTCTATTCTTCATCGAAGAATAGGCAAATGTTGCGGATGTCTGAGCAGGAACAATAACCAGGAAAGGGATATACCCAGGGGATTTCTTGATTGACACTAGATTAACGTCATTTTTCACTTATTTGCATTTTCACGATCGACGTTTTTGAATGGGCGCGTTTCTGTAATGAACTTAAATTGTTATTACAACTCATACGTCCAAGCCTAATAGCCATTTGAAATCTCGTTCCAAAAGTATTGCGTTTCTAGATTCCTAGTATGGCTGTATAAATCTTTGTTTAGTCTCTACCTACCCGACTTGTCTTTTGGAATCCAGAAATTTCACGAAAAAGGCCACTTTTATAATAAAAGGAATTAAGCATGTGCCTAATGATACCTCGTATTTTGCTTTTCAATTATAGCAATGAAATCAATTTGATCCGTAAAAAGAGTGCTGTCATGTCGATCATTGCTGCTCTCGAATACGTTTCAACATCAACAGCGACCATTATCACTGTCATCACTCTTGTACTAACTGGTCAGCCCCTGACTCCTGTAACCGTCTACTCGTTACTGTCTTTTATCAATCTGCTGAGAAGGAGCCTCTGTGCGGAACTGTCCAATGGACTCATGCAATCATATGACGCTTATGTCTCATTAAAAAGAATACGTGACTTCCTTCTATTGAACAACCTTGAATCAAATAACACAAGGATGTATCAACAGGAAGGAGCAGAAAAAATCTTCTTACCTTACAAGTCAACAGATCCTCAGCAAGAAACTATCCTAACGGTCAGAAATTTTAATCATCAAACGCAAAAAATACTTACAGACGACGAATCATTGCTACAGGATATTGACTTCACAATGGAAAGAGGAAGTTTAACAGTCCTAACCGGACCAGTGGGCAGTGGTAAATCTACTCTTTTGTCGGCAATTGCTGGGGAGGTGCCAGACCAGAACTGGGCCATAAACTACAATGGAACTGTTGTTTATGTGCCACAGATTGCTTGGGTATTTTCTGGGAGTATAAGAGAAAACATTTTGTTTGGCGAACAGTACGAGGAATCTAAGTACAACAGAGTCATTGAAGCATGTGCTTTGACTCAAGACATCGAGAAGTTTCCAGACTGTGACCAGACGATCGTCGGAGAGCGTGGAGTGGTTCTTAGTGGAGGCCAGCGGGCAAGAGTAAGCTTAGCACGTGCAGTGTACGCCGAAGGAGAGCTTTACTTGTTGGATGATCCCTTAACTGCCGTGGACTTTAAAGTCGCCAATCACATCTTTAAGGAATGCATCAAAGGCCTCCTTAGACAGAAAACCCGATTAATAACTTCTCACCAAGAAAAGGTCATGCGAGAAGCTGATAACATTATTGTATTGTGTAAAGGCCAAATGTTGGCTAAAGGAAGTTTCACTGAGCTAAAAGAAAGTGGTATCCTGAATGCAACTCGTGATCTCACGTATGAGAAAGCTAACGAAATCGAGTCGGTTGTTGGTATGGAAAATGAAGACAAAGATGACATTCCTAAGATGAGTGATGAAAGTGTATCCCATGAAGTACAGGGGCCCCACTTATCAGAAGAAGATCGAGCCATCGGAGCTGTGTCTGCAAGTCTTTACTGGAAATACTTTAGAAGCGGAGTACCTTTGCTGCTAATAATCACGGGGATTTGCTGGTGTCTTATTACTCAAGGTAAGGCCTTAACATGAAGAAAATTTACAGCATCACTTTATAGCCTGGGAAATCACCCGATAATGCGCGACGCCAGCAATGGTTTACCCTCAAAGGGCGGCTGAGGAACGAACACATGCTGGTGACCTGTACCCAGCTATGGCGGTGCTTTCGATTGGTCGTGTGGCGAGGGAAATTTGCTTCAACAAATCAGGAGCACTACCCAGATGTGGGTAGTGATACATCACCAGCATGGAATTTTGCACTTGTTCTCAGTCGTCACTTTACAGGAACCCAGTGGTGACATCGCGAAATGTCGCCTGTTTTCTCAGGCTTTGTATCATATTTCTAGAATCAAATCCTCCTTAAAAATTTCTTAGTTATGAGAATACCTCTTAAAACCCCCTCTTAGCAGACATCCTTGTAGGGCAGAATAAGTTTCCATAACTGGCACTTGCTATGCACCGAAGTGATCCTTGTAACTGGTTGCGAGAAAAAGTCATTTGTGACCCCTTCCCACGGCTGGTGGACTGTTCAAAAATGCCACGTTGTTTGATATCTTATTGTCAAACTCTTTGTCGATCATTGCAGAAAATGTTATGTTGTACTTGGAACTGGCCTTCACTAATACAAAAAGAAATATATGTAATTACATTTTCCCTTTGCATGTAATAGTTATAGGCGCAAAAAAAACGATCTGCGTAGAAAGTTTCCACAGCCACTTCGGGGAATGGAAGCCTTGTGATAATGGAGGGCAGTCATACGTACTTTTAGAGATGTTCACTTACGGCAGCGATTCATTAAGGGATCTTTGCCTGACATCACAACCAGTTGCAAAAATGTTGAGACACTCCAACGAAAAACCATCCTTGTTTACTTCAAATCTCTGCTAGTCAAACTTCTGTGCAATAAAATACTCACCTCCCCCCTACTCTCCATTCAAAGTTGTTCCTCCAATTTTTGAGCATGGCCTTGTATCGCTTGCAACTTTGAAAAGTGGGGATCACAAGCACAAGATAATGGCCAGGCCACTTAAGCCAAAAAAGGGAACAGTGGCTCTAGTACTTTTTCAACTGGTTGTAGCAATTATGCCAAATTTGTATTTAAATTAGTATTTAACATATATTGAATAAGGCTGAGTATTCCTTCATGGAGAATTAAGCAAATCGACGATAGTGGTATCCACCAAAGGCGAAGTCCGAAGCTATACTTAAGGCAAAGTTGGGCAAAAGAGTGCAAGGAAACTTTTGGCCCCTCAATCTGTATCTTCATATGTTTCCTCAGAATCTAACAGCAGATGGTCTTTCTAAGCCTGGAGCGCTTTAGTACTAGCAGCTAATGGTGGCGAACTTCCTTTTAATCGTTTGCCTCTTTCGGGACACAGTTTTGTGATGATCACATCCCATTTTCATCGTTTCAGTAGTAGGATGCTTATATATATTTGCATTGTTCTTCGGTCAATACTTATTTGCACTTCTGTAGAAACTTATACTGTTATATAAATTACGCCTCATCGTACGTTCGTCGGTCAGCATTGTGCCTGGATAAAAGTAATTGAATGTGATTTACGTCAAAATACACGTCCAGCCGCCGAGTCCTCATCGTGCAAGATAATCCTCGATTTATCGCGAATAACTATGGCAAGAGCCTCGTGAATCAAAACCCCGGAGATAAACTGGGACGCTTAATATTTACGAGACCAGTTCGTGAAATTCAAGTAATAACGCAATCAAATCTTTGCTGGTCGCCATGCAAATAAAATGCATAAAAAACCAAGCTTATTTATATCCGTTGTGGACTGACAGCCAAGGACCAGAAGCCTACAACAGTTGGACGTGGGAAGACGATGATGATCGCATAAAACCAGAAGAAACTTGGCGATGATTTGAGAGCCACGTAGCACCTAAAGTAAGTCATAGGCTTACTAGATATCAGCGCCATCAGATTCGGCAAAACAACGAGAAAACTATGGATCATTTTATGAAACGCTGCTGGAATCAGGCTACAAGAGGCTGGTTCAGAGATTTGGCTTAAATGAATGTGCATCCAATAGAAAAGTTCGCAACTAATCGTTGGAACAGAACCCAAAATAGTTCAAGAGGGGCTTTAACAAAAAAAGGTCTAGCGCTTTCACTCAACGAAGCAACTGACATTGACAAAGATGCCCTGTCTCAATTGGAGCAGTAAGGATGCGATCAAAACAAAATGATCATGGAATCAAAAAGAGCGCTAGGAATGGCAACAAGCCTAAAGTATGCAGTGCCCTAACTATGGCCTAGAACTTTTCTCAAGAACCAGTGAAAGTTGCCCGGCGTATGGAGCTGAGTGCCTTAACTGCGGGAAACCAAACCGTTGGGTAAGAGTACGTCGTGCAAACCGCGGAGTTTCGGGGGGTTCATCTAAAGACAGAGGAAATTCCAAATCAACGCACCGGTCTACAAACAGAGGTCGCTGAGGTGGAGGAACGTCTTCGCTGGACACAAGGAAGAGAGCACACTCCATTCAAATTAGTAATTTCAATCAATTAATTTCTAATCAATTGAAGTTAATGCATTTGATCCTACAAGCCTGGATAATACGAAAGATGAAGGTGATTGTTAAAGTAAAATTTGGCCTCGACCAGTTGCAGTTGAATGAATTCTTAGGCCGAAAGTCTGCTGCAAGCTTCTTCTTTACTGAAGCAGAAGGTCGAGCCCTTCTAGTTTTACCAACAGCACGTGACCTCAATCTCATTATTTTACATTGTTCTGTGCAGAGTGATTCAGCAAATCCATTCGACACCCATGAGTTACCCACACCCTCCCAAGCCAAGCCTGAGGGAGTTGCACTAAAGCCAGTAACATCCTTCAAGAGGACTGGAGGCACACCCGAGGCAACAACATCCTCTCGGACCAAACCCGAAAGAGCCACACCCAAGCCAGCCACTCCCTCGTAACTGGGTACATCCAGAAAACCAACCCCTCTCAACAACAAGGTTACCCTGATTGTTTCAGTGAAAATGAAAAATGGATGCGTCAGTACCCGCAATTGTACAAACCCAGCGACGCGTACCACTGAACGTACGGGATGACATCAAGCAGAAACCAGCTTACATGGTATTGCAAGGTGTAATTGGCAAGATAAGAGAAGTCGAGTCAACTGCCTGAGTTAACCGCTAAGTGTACCGCAGAAAACCAAATGGCGAAAAGCTGAGAATCTTCGTCGATCAATCCCAAGGACCTTAATGGAAAATAACGTGATCCTTCACTTGAAAAAGTTCTTCCAAGAATGACAGGTGACAAATACTTCTCAATAGGAGATGCAAAATGTAGATATTGGAATGTCGAGTTGGATCAAGAACTGGGCTACAAAAACCGTTAACTTTAAACTTACCATTTGGTCTTTTCCGTTTCCTTTGAATACCTTTTGGCCTTTGATGTTTCAGGGCGTGTTTCAAACTAAAACATACCGACCTTTAAAGGTTGTGAAGGTGAAGTGGGGATAGCCGAAGATATTGTTGTTTACGACAGAGGAGGAACACGAACGTCACAAGCATGGTATGCTGATCAGATTCAGAACCAGTGGTCGTAAGTTGAATCCAGACAAATGTAAATTTAAGCAGAGGGAGATCAAGTTCTACGGCATCATCGGTATTGAGGATGGAGTTAAACCTGACCCCGATAAAGTTTCAGCCCTGCTAAGACTGTGTCACCCCCCACCAATTCACAGCAGGAGCTGCAAACATTATTTTTATACCTACTTGGCTCCATTCATTTCCAGGTTTAATACCTTGAACCCCCCTTACGAGAATTGCTAAAGGAGGAAGATGATTTTGACAAGACTTCCTTGCAAGAGCAAGCGTTTTACGCGATTGGGAATGACATTAAAGCGACGAAATCACTCCGGCGTAGTATGACCTAACCAAAGAAGTAACCCTACTGGTAAAGGGTCTCGGTGTTATTCTACTTCAAGAGAAGTTAACTCGAAACAGCCAACGACAGAGAGCTTGCTGCCCCTTAGGAAGTCTGAACAATGGTTCACTTTGGCCCACGTCAGTAAACGCTAGTAAAGGAGTTTCCGCCATTGGTTCGACCTTTGAGTTATCTGTCAAAAATGACCGGTTCTAAAAGACCAGAGCGTTATTATTCCTCAGTACCTCCAGGGAGACATTTTGTCCAAACTGCATGCCAACCAAGGTAGTACACACATTGGTGTTCTGGAAAAATCTAAACAAGAACACTGAGGAGCTGATGACTCAGGCATGGAAAGTCATCCAAGAACTCCAACCTAAGCAGGCAAAAGAACTGATTATTCTGACAGAGGCACCACCAAGTTCTTGGCGTACTGGTACAGTAGGAATTGGTCTATTCTACGTGGATACCTGATAATTGATGATTACTTTACTACGTTCTCCTTTGTTAGAAAGAAACTCAGACGCCAGAGTAAATGCATGGTTGTTGTTGATCAAATAAATCAAAACTTCAGTGATTATTTTCCTCACTATGAGGAAAATAATGGGCCACGTTTCCAAGCCGATACTGTGGTCAATTTGCAAGGAAAACGGTTTCAGCGACCGCACAAGTTCTCCCACAGGTAACCCAGGCTCTGTGATAGTACCACAGTACGGTTCCAGTAAAATTACAGTGTTTGTATGGGGTGAAAATATCATCCTAAAATTTCTAGGAAATACTAAATCAAGATCAATGAGACTTACTCTGCACTTAATTGTTGTTGTCCTTGTTGCTCCAACGAAGTTTCGTGATAATTTGCAGTAATTTGTTCAAATTCACTCTATCTACAATAATAATATACAAGGTAGGAAACACGAGGTGCCATTTTCGCCGACATGCTCCCATTCAACACAACTTTTTCCACGAAATTCGAACTCCAACGGAAAATAAACATGCCGGGATCGTACAAATAGGATAGCAGCAGATATAGAAACCAATGAAGCTTTCCCAGATAGAGAAACGAATCTGTTCTTCCTAGCCAGTCACTATGGCCTGTTATAAAGAGATTATTTTCCTCTCGAACTATATTCAGCTCCTGGCGCTGGTCCTCAGAAAGTTTAATTAACATCAGTAGGGCGAGGTTATAAGGGCAAAGGAAAGAACAACGAAGGACGATTTACAAAACTTAAAACGAGCAAAAGATATAAGTGAATTTTGGCTCTTACCGAGGCATTTGTACAACAGGACCAAATTCAAAGAGAGGTGTATCACGATGATTCACATATTTAACCGATAGAGCGTTCACTTGTATTGACAAGAAGTCGGCGTGTTACTGCCGCTAAATCGCTAAATATGTTAATCGCGCTAGTTCTTTGTTTACTAGTGCACGTGCCTTTCACATTCGTCTCAGTTATCGCAATTCATATTCTGTCGCAATTTTCTGCATAATTTTTGACATTAGTTTGTAAGCTTCACCGTTTATTTACGATAGTTTCGCTCGAGAGTTCACAGCAACAGTATCTCAGTCATCATCTACCTTTTGTTCAACCTTGTTTTTAGCCCGCCTTGTAAGCATTTCGCGTTGTTATTTCATTAGTTTCATTACTGTTATTTGCATTCCTTAGTAAAAGAAATGGGACGCCTTGTAACTCCGCAGACTCTCCTGATTATATTACTTTTTTTAGCGATTTAAATTCAGGCACGTGTGCGGGGTTTGCTCTGGCAAATGGTGATCGGCTAGGAAGAACAATTGCCTTCTATCAAGTATTTTTCCAGCAGGGGAGGGTGGCCTTGGGCAAATGATGTATTGGTCCCTAGAAAGGTCACCCCAGGACTCCCGGGATGGAATTTTTTTGTACAGTGCCCAGGTCTCATTTTCTTGGCCGCGCGTTGATGTGGCCCGACTGCTTCGGCGAGCGTATTCTCGGTGTGTTTGGATTATATTCTTCGAGTTTGTCCAAGTCTGTGGGATTCGTTTCTCTATCTGCGAAAGCTTCATTGGTTTCTATATCTGCTGCTATCCTATTTCTACGATCCTGGCATGTTTATTTTCCGTTGGAGTTCGAATTTCGTGGAAAAAGTTGTGTTGAATGGGAGCATGTCGGCGAAAATGGCACCTCGTGTTTCCTACCTTGTATATTATTATTGTAGATAGAGTGAATTTGAACAAATTACTGCAAATTATCACGAAACTTCGTTGGAGCAACAAGGACAACAACAATTAAGGGCAGAGTAAGTTTCATTGATCTTGATTTAGTATTTCCTAGAAATTTGAGGATGATATTTTTACCCCATACAAACACTGTAATTTTACTGGAACCGTACTGTGGTACTATCACAGAGCCTGGGTTACCTGTGGTTCTCCCAAGCTATTATTGCCTTTAACTGAACTGTTCAGTACTAGTACTGACCTCCAACTTCCTCAATTAGTACTAATTGTCTAGCCACAAATTTACTTTTATAATAATATGTTCAGATATCATTCATATCCAATTAACTACACGAAACGAGTACAAAGTTTCCACGATGGTTATTTGTACAGTTTATTATTTGTATACTTATAGCATACCTGTTTGCTACCATCTTCAGTTGAACAAAATCTCCTGTTTAGACACAGTTATTCGTTAGACAAAACTAGTATCTGACGCTTCTTTCTCTGATATTTACCTTTTAGCAACGATGGTTTCCTGTGATGTGTGGCTTTCACTTTTGACAAAGAATCGTCCAGAAGATCAAAAGAATTCGACAAACCTTATCATCTACGGTTCTCTTGTCGGCGCATCTTTCATATTTCTCATCATTCGGGCATTTGGCTTCTATTTGTTGTCGTTACGATGTTCTGAACGTCTTCACAATAAAATGGTAGCGGCTATTCTACAAGCACCGGTCCTCTTCTTTGATTCAAATCCCGTGGGAAGAATTATGAATCGGTTCTCTAAAGATGTAGGCTGCATGGATGAAGTAATACCGAGAAAGTTTCTGTCAGCAGTCGAACTGGTCTTGTTGATGTTCACCTCAGTTCTTCTACCAACTGTAATAGACCCTTGGCTTCTGTTTGCTGTTGTCCCAATAGCTGTGTTAGCGGGGCTTATTTCAAGATATTACTTAAAGACTTCCAGGGAACTACAAAGGTTAGAGTCCATTAGTCGCAGCCCTGTCTATTCTCATTTTTCGGAAACCCTGGATGGACTGGAGACGATTCGGACAAGAAAGAGGGAAGAAGATTTTGTGGAAGAGTTTTGCAGGTATCTAAAATCAATTTTAAATTAACCTTAATCTCTGGACAAAGAAGAAATTGCATTTAATTCAGCTGGAAAGCTAACTAGTAAAGTATTTTGGACAGGGTATTTCCTATCGTAAATCTAGCTAATATAGAGCAAAATGGCACCACTGACTCACTCCACAATATAGACAAGAGTTAAACTTGCTATGAAAAGAGTGAAGTAAAAAAAGCGAAGCGTTTCTTCGATATAACGAACCCGTTTGTGATAAAAGATCCCCAACGGATTTGGACTCAGTCTTAGTTAAATGTATACAACAGGATCCCGATTTAGTGTACTCCTGTTATGACGACGGATATATAGGGGGTCCAAGATATTTTTATCACCACAATTACACTTTCTGCGGTACGGCAAGATACTTGGTTGAAACGCATATAGGTTTCTGTCTATGAAGTAATTTTTTTCTCATGGCATAACCCATTACATGGTCCTTTCCAAGTCTGCTGGCTTCCACAACCGCGGAGGTTTTATGCTAAACATATGAAAAAAACGGTTTTATAACTAGATCCATATTATTGTCGTTCTTAGGCATCAAGATATTCACACTCAGTCATACATTATGGTTTTTGCCAGTCGTCGTTGGCTTGGTGTACGCTTGGATTGTCTCTCTGCTCTGTTAACTGGTGCAGCGGCTCTTGCCGCGGTTTTTGTGTCTGATGATGCTGGTAAATCCACTTGTTTATGGGATGAGAAACGGAAATAATTCATGTTCATATGTTGCTCATGTTTTAACATCTTTGAATAACCTAAAAACATCACCTTTTTATATAACGCAATAGCATACATTTAAATACGTTTTAATTACACACGATAGAAAGCTTTAAGCTCACGCTTATAATGTCGTAATCAGTAATTTAGAAGTATTAATTAACTTACAAACGTCAAATGAAAATAAATACTGCGATACTTAAAACTAAGATTTTTTTTGCAGCCATAAAGGCACTAAAACCAATTTCCCATTTAGTACACCATAAGACAATTTTTGATAAGGCCGACAGTAGTCTGAGGTAATTCCATTTTAATATCAGCGTTTATAAATACTTTCTTGTTTTTCAGTTGTTTCAACCCTATTTAGACCTGGCTTAATTTGCTTCCTGTAATTGGAGGAAAAACTCTCGTGTTACGGCCACTAAAATTACACCGAATAATGTATCATTATTTTCAACATCTAGGCATAACTTAATTGACAGTGATGTAATTTGACATAACTGTGACGTCATATTGTTGGATTCATTAGCAGGATCCAAATTGAATAAACTTTTCTCCTTAAAGTAGCCATAAAGCGAAAAATACTTAAATAGTAAGGAGCATAGGCGTACGGGCCGGGGGGGCGAGGGGGGCTGCAGCCCCCCCAAATTTTGGGCAACTCAGATTTTTTGGGCAGCAAGAGAAAATTTGGGCAAAGCCAGCTTTTAAAGACGTTTTCATGTTTTTTTATCAGTATTTTGAAGAGATAAATATTTTCTATTTTAACCTGGAGTCTGCGTAATAATCAAGTTACATTCACACGAGACAGTGGTTGCCAAGCACGTGATGAGTTTCTGTTTATAAGGGAAGGTTTTTTTTATCGTTGGGCACTGTACTGCCATGGGCTATTTCCAATCATGAATTGATTAGACTAAACTTCCGCCTAACTTTTTAATATCATCTCCGCTCGTAGAACAGTGTATGGCAGATAGCATCAGCGATTGATCTGAAAGTGAAGAAGTGGTTGGCTAATTCTCACTTTGAATTACGAGAAGAATCTTAATTTTTTTAAAAAAATCTATCAAGTGGTTCAAATTATTCACTAATTTGTTATTAAAGTAGACCGAAATGTTTACAAAACCGCTAACAAGCGCGCCATGATACATACTAATCAAATCCTTCTTTGTAGCAATTGAGCAGAATAGACCTTTTTACCAATACGGCGGCCATATTGATATTAACTCGATTTAAGGAGTATTATAGGATGCCCAGGGGGCATGAGCACATTTCGTTTGTATTTTAGAGCGCTTTTCGGGACATTTTTTCTTTAAGTTTTCTTAGAATAAGATTGTAATGGGAAAAAAGATCCTTGTGCCGTGTTTGGATGTAATAATGATCGCCTTTTTCTAGTTTAGTATTAGAAATATGGTCTCTCACTGTATATTTCTCGCGTAAAAGGCGATCATTATTACATCAAAACACTGCACAAGGATCCTTTTACCCATTACAATCTTATTCTAAGAAAACGTTAAGAAAAAATGTCCCGAAAAGCGCTCGAAAATACAAACGAAGTGTGCTCATACCCCCTGGGCATCCTATAATACTCCTTAAATCGAATTAATTCAATATGGCCGCCGTATCGGTAAAAAGGTCTATTATCTCTATTATATCACTCGTGGTATTTATGCCAAATATCACTAAAAATCATGGTATTACCTATAGAAATAACTCACACACATTTTTAAAAATATTGAAGCTACTATGAGGTGAAATGGCATGTCAAAAGCGCTTCCTTTTCTACAGATAACGGCTAAACATCAAGATTTTCCTTGTTTTACTGTATTTCTAACGATAAAAACTTTATCCCAAAATACCCCGATGACGCTCTTACAGATTCCGTTTTAACTTCACAAACATGGAGGCGACTATTGGTTGAAGCTCCCGAGAACGATTTCATAGACCTTCATGATGAGAAATAATGCTGCGAGTATAATAGGTAATGGCGTCATTTCGTTGCTATGACAACTCCGGTGTCATTGCAACCCTGATCATGACAAATTTTCATCTTTATCTAATACAAATTTGGTGGCAATTTTTCCAAATGTTTGTTTATGGCAACGTATAGTTTGTGCTCGAACTTGGCAGGTATATATCGACCCTGAAAACCTGTATTGAGGCACTTTCGTATGCCAGTACGCGGGCCTATGTTGTTGCATCGTATGGCCCTTGTTTCTTTTCGACTGTTTTGTAAAAATTTGGGCAATTTGCAAGAATTTTTTGGGCAAATGGTCTACCGCCCCCCTGGCCGAAAATTGCCAGTACGCCTATGGTAAGGAGTCTTACAAAATCAAGAAGTTGGTAATAATCTTCAATAACAGCAGTGATGTCATAAAGACGTCATTTGTCACTGTAGAAAGAAATGGAACCACCTGCCACCTTAGATCCGCCATTTTGATTTAACTTCATGTATTCCAATTTACTTTAAACCCACATGAATCGAGGTAATTGTGATAGAAAATATGATCTGTGTACAAAAGGAAATTTAGGAAGCAAAATATCGGCAAGTTAAGAATATTTGAGAGAAATGAACACTGCAAAAAATTATACCCAGTAATGGCCACTTGGTCATTTTAACTTCATTTTTTTTTTTAATTTAGTCCCTTAAATGCTTATAAGAAATTTGATAAAATGTTACTTGATGAAGTGAAATAATATAATTAAATAATTAAAAATAGAAATAAAATCCTTTTTTTAAAGGAAAAATGAAAATTTTTAAAAACATGGCTTTCAAACTCAGTTGCCGTAGTAACGTCTATGTTGAGGTACACATCAAGACAACTTAAAAGTGTTCCCAGATAAATTCTCTTAGTGTTGAGTTAATGGCTTGAACGGTTATTAAACTTTCTAGTGAGTGGGGATTCAATTTTTACGGTCTTCTATACGTAGTCTAGAACGTGTGAAGAGAGTGTAGAGAGATTAGAGTTTGGTCGAGTAGGCGTTTTGATTGAGAATATTCTCTTTTATTTCTTACAGCTTTAGTTGGACTATCTCTGGTTTACATAGTCCAGACCGTGAATCTGACGCAATTTACTGTTCGTCAGTTAACGGATATCGAAACTCTAATGACTTCAGTTGAGCGAGCAATGACCTACACAGAGCTGGAATCTGAACCTGGATACAACGTGCAACGAAATCCTCTGGAATTGTGGCCGCATGAGGGAAATATCACATTCAAAGACGTATCCCTGACGTACTATCCTGGTGGTCCTCAAAGTCTAAAGGATATCACACTTAACATCAATGGTGGAGCTAAGGTCGGAATTGCAGGCCGAACGGGTGCAGGGAAATCTTCTTTTGTGGCCGCACTAACGCGCATGCCTGAAGCTGACGGGGATATACTGATTGATAACGTTTGTATAAGAGATATCAATCTACAAGAATCTCGACGGGCAATAACAATTCTTGGACAAAATCCGGCCCTCTTCATTGGAACGGTAAGGCAAAATCTTGATCTGATGGAGCAGTTTGAAGACGCAGAATTGTGGCGCGCTTTAGAAAAGGTGCAGCTGAAAAGTCTTGTAGAGAACCTGGAGGGTCAGTTGGATCATAAATTATTGGAGCACGGTGCAAATTTAAGTGTTGGTGAACGCCAACTCATTTGCTTGGCTCGCGTGCTGTTGCAGCAAAAGAATATCGTCATTTTGGATGAGCCCACTGCACACGTGGATCCAGACACGGAACAAACAATCTGGAACATAGTGCGCGAGGAACTCAAATCTTCCACAGTTATCACGATAGCACATCGTTTGAACACAATTAGAGACAGTGACAAGGTTTTAGTCCTAAAAAATGGGGAAGTCGCTGGGTTTGATACGTTTAATGTGCTAATAAATAGAAAAGGTGGAATTTTGAGTGAATTGGATCATGTAACAAAGGCCGCCACATAGGATTTTTCCTCCACCCAAAAAATTAGGGTGACATTTCAAGGATGTCTTCAATGCCAGCATTGAAAGCTATTTTAGTCGCTAAGGAAATAATGATATTCCGTGAGGAAAGCTATAATAGTGCACGCGAACGTGCAACTCGAAAAATATGCGTAATCAAAGGTGTCTTCATTTTAATACTTTTTGTCCTTGTCTATAGCTAACTTTCTCTTGTTCTTTAATTTTTATAGTTCGAGCAAAGAGAGCATGACATAGTGCCAAATATTTTTTTATTGAATTAAAGATACCTTAATATTTTATATTAACCAGGTTTCCTGGGGGTGGATTCATCTGCAGCATACTCGTTCTCCTAAACCAAACAATTAGTAAACCCGTTTATTTCCATTGCCTCCTTGACAATTTCCGGTAAACAAAGTAATTAAGTTCAAACCAAGCGGAAAAGCCCCCTACTTGCGATTGCTTACGTATCGGATTAGTTCAGAAAAAGGTGGGCGAATACAAAAAAAAACCAGCTCTTGCAGCAGGCGCTCCCTTCCCTTTTTGCCCGCTTTCGCACTTTTCTCCTTCCCCCTCCCCTCCCCCTCCCCTCCCCTTTTAGTGCCTGCCATGCAGGCTACCGTACATCGCTTCGACTTGTTCGGTTATTTTAACGGCTGCAAAATCTTTCCTTGGAATAATTTTTAACCTTGGGCTAGTTTAACACTTGATACTACCCTAAAATGCCTCCATTTCGAAACAATAAAGATCGCTGATAACATTATTGTTCTGAAGTTCGGAAAACAATAAATTTCTAATTTATGCAGGGCAGTGGCGTGACTCAACCTGTCAAATTTTTAGCCAATGAAATCATAAAATCATAAAAAATCATAAATTTTGTTGTGTTTTCTCCATTTTTTAGGGCAATTTGACCAAGTTTTTCAAGCTTTTGTTATTGTAACAAACAAATTGACGCCAGTTTTTTATGTTTTTGTCTTCTTATTGATGATGAAATGACATCATCACATCGGCAAAGTCTCTTGTGGATCCACTCACATGCGGCTTGTGGAGCCGCAACACTTTGACAATATTATGACGCCATTTTATCATCAATAAGAGGACAGACACATTAAAAAAGTGGCGTCATTTTGTTAATCTGTCGCTCAGTAAAATTATTTAGACTTGTACCAGCTTCCTTTTTTCTTATAAACTCATAAAGTGCTGGCAGCGGTAATTGCAAGGTCTTGAAGGCTATTATCATCTCGTGACTAGAAACCTGTGCTATCCAAGCTGAAGCCTTATACGGCGCTAAAAAACATTAGGCTTGAGCATGTACGACTTTATTTTGGGGATTTAGCGATGCTTGTATTTGAAACAGGGTAGGCGTTAGCTTCAAATATACAAGTATGCTGCAAATACATTATCCACCCTCAATAACAAGGACTAACAAGGACCTAGCCATTTAAGAATATTTATTATTCATTCCAAATATTTCCCCGATGCTGATTGGCTAAAAACACACGCATAATTCACCTTAACCAGTTACTGATAACCAAATTTGGAAGAATTTTGTGTTTAACGAGGAAGTGACGTCAAAAATGCAGCGTTCTTGCAGGTTGATGCACCATTAACCGAGAAGACCTGGGGACAAGACTGACTTGTTTTGGTTGTGAAAACAAAAAATGGCGGACATTTTACGCGTTTCAAGAGTAATAACTAGGCGAAATTATTGCTAAAAACATGGCAAGAACAGCAAGAACACAACTCGAAGGGCGACATCTGCTATTTGGAGAATATTTGCGGAGCTGAACAACCCTAAACGTACACCATCGAAGGTGAACTTAAAATCGATGGAGGTAAGCATGTTTTACATGTAGCTTTGTTTTTAAACTAGGAATTATTTTGAATGAATAATGAAACAATTATTGAATTCGGCTTTCGTATCATATGAAGAATTATGGAGATCTCGGAGGGTGTTATCCGCCGTACCCTCCTCGATTTCCATAATTCTTCATATGATACTCAGCCTCATTCATTAATTGTTAAATATTTTAACATGAAAAAAGTAAAGCGCAGATTCTAATTGGTCAATTAGCCATCTACCATTTGCCCAATGTCGCAAAAAACCGATAAGCTAGGGCGGGAAAATTGAGGCCAATTGAGCAAATTTTCTCTCTTGTGAGTAAAAATATATCGATGAAGTACAAATGATAAGTAGAAAATACTCAGTTGTCGTTTTGAAGCAAAGTAAAAAAGGTATGTAAAGCGAATGCAGAAAACATACGGCGCTAGGATGATCCGCCTGCTAGTATCTTCCTAGTGCCAGAGGATCTTTCTCCCTCTATGTGAACAACTCCTTAATCTTCACTATCATATACTATCCCTGGTACCGGACCCTCGAAATCAAAACCGAGTGAAAAAAGATTTCCGTCAATCAAAGGACACAATTTGTGCTGTTGCCTTTTATGAAACCTCAGCCTTCAAAACAAGGCTTCACATTCCTGACGAACATGGCGTATGTTTATTTATGAACACCAATCATCGCATGTAGCTATTTAGATGTTAATTTAACTACCGTAACTGGAAGTAACACAAACACGGGATTGTCCCAAAGAAACTGGGGGGCACCGGTACCGTTTCCGAATACTGGAAGTATTATTATTATTTATTATTATTTTTTTTTTATTTTATTCTTATTGATAGCGGCCACTATCTTGAAAGCAACTGAAAAACTACATCACTGGCAGTTTCAACGTCCAAGATGGCAGGAGAACATTAGTGTCATCGTTCGCACTACAAAATACGCCTGCTTTGCAGGCTACATGTACTGGGTCATACTGGGTGTGTTCATTAGTCAGTGCCCAGCACAGTACCGGGCGCCAAGTAAAAATTGCTTAAGCGTTTTCACAGCACTGCCAGTAGGAAGAATGAGCCATTTTAAGAGCAGAGGCATTAATTATCCAAGCCTAACTGTCCACTTCTATTATTGTCCTTGGAAAATTTAAGATGTTCAGAATGCTTGGGAAATACGCCCTCACTAGCGTCGAAAGTGACGGAAGAGAGATTGGAAAAGTTGGGATTCTTATGTGTCTGGTTCTCTCGAATTTATGACTTCGCTGCAACATATTTTTGATTTTCACTAGATCAAATTTAACCTTCTTTACTATGGCTGATAACGCTTAATTGAGCTTTTGGGTTGTGACCGTCTATAACTCCAATTTTCACGTCAGAGTTTATTCCGTTCCACCATTTGTGCCAGAGTTGTACGCGGCAAAACGCCTGCATTATCATAAACGCTGGCGAGGTAAGTCTTTGAAAATCGCCATTTTGTAACCTCTTTTTTCAGCTGCATAGGAAGCTAGACTTTACTCGTCTTTACACTTTCTACAGCATTGCAAAGCATAAGTGAGTTGTCTAGGTAAGCTCCGCCAGCAAAAAGATGTGGAAAAATCCTAGCAATTCTTATTTTTTTCATCACGGCTTTCTAAGAAATGTCATGACTTAGCTTATTCTCCTGTTGGTTGTTTGTATGAAATCTAAAAATCTCAATTTTACTGTAACTTGTTAAACGAGATCAAAGCAATAGAACGAAGAAGCTAGAGGTTTCGTGATAAAGATAAGAGCGGTGCGTCCTCATAATACAGCACTGAATTAACAAGTAGGTGCCCTTTGATAATGGTATTAAACAGTCAATTAAACAGCTACAGTTGAACGACTAGAGCAAAATGAAGTAAGTTTCATAATTAAAGACGTTTTGGTCTGCAACCTAGTATCCTGGTTTAGTGTCCGGCTTTTAGACATGGAAGAACAAAAACACCTGAAGTCGACTCTTTCAGAGTTTTAAAAGATTTGTCTGAGCAGTTTAAGCTTCTGTTAGCTTGATGCTTCACTGATCATACCTCCAAGGCCGTACGCCCACCGCCCACTTTCTGCTCTGTTGACTGATAATAAGAGACCATATTGTGATCGAAATTATTTTTTAAAATGCAAAAGTGAGGAATACCATTAAAGATCGAACCGTCTCTCTAGGTCAGACCTCTTTTTCGTTTCACTGAGGCAAAATTTAACAAGAGAACGAGATTGGTGTACCCGGCTTTTTGGCATTCAAGTTTGAAATCTGCAAAACCAAACAAGAAAGATACGTTTTAATAAGTAGTGTTTACTGGATTTGCTGGATCGGTAAGTTCTTTATCTGTAACTACAATATGTTTACTAATCATTCACTTACGTTTACTCTAGAACGATTAAAGCCATTTAACCTTAGTGAATCCAAAATCTTGCAATTGAACCTTCCACGGCGGTTTTTTTTTATTTTTTGACTAGAACCAGTTAGCGAAAATCTGTCAATCTGGAATTAAGAACGCCTTATAATCAGTAGGGATACTAGGTTTTTAGTAATTCATTTGTTGAAGACTAAGTTAAACGAAGATTATAGCTCCGGAAAGTCGCGAAAATATACAGATGTTTATATGATGGGGGTCAAATTCATGTTCCCCCAATTATACAAAGGTCTGCAACATTTCGCGACTTTATGGACATATATCTTCGCTCCCTTTAGACTTATCCCTTAAAACTTAGCAAGTTTAAAGAGTGTCTTAAAGCGATGTCGTTGGACATTTACTTACTGATAATAATAATACTAATAATATAAACTTTATTCAAGTGTCAGATTCTTTAGCTATCTAAGCTAATTGGGGACACTATGAAATAAAAAGAAATATGTACAGCAATAAACTAAAATAATAAGAGTTAAAAATTCCTATATACAAAGCAAGAAAGATTTAAGAACTAGATAAAGTGCATTTCGACCCACATTTGTCTTCCGTCAAGTGACCGACTAAATCAATTTTTCTATTTTTTTTCTTTAATTTATCAATTTCATTGATCTTTACTAAAACCGTGAAGGTTCTATCAAATGGTTTTCTAGCTGGGTATACAATTCTATGGATCGTCATGACTGATTCAGTTGACTACACTGACTTAAGAAGGCAATTACCACCCATGGTCAGTGATCCAAATGAACGCACTTTTCAAAAGGGTCTCCCGACTGCGGTGAATTCTTTCAACAGTGACTGTGCAAATGTTAACCCACTATATTTAAGCTTTCTGGGACCGATTTCAGGCATAATGGTTATCGATTGACCAGCGGATAGTAGAAGCCTTATAGACGTTTAAACGCCTCAGGGGCACCCAACGACAATTTTTGGAAAATATCTGTTAGGAAGACGATTTGAGATCTAGAATTTTCGGAACATTTGTTGTTAAATTTCTTGCTTGCATGCGTCTCCTAGGATTTTCGAACCTCCCAAAAAGGGTGTAATTGCCCATTTTTAACGGATTTCTACCCTAAAAAGGTCACCTAGAATTTTTGGGAGCCTTTTTGTGGCTGATCCCTATAATTTTCGGATCACTACAGTTTAAAGACTAAAATATGTTCGACAATGCTATGTTTAAGTGGTTTTGAACTATATTCTCGTTGGGTGCCCCTGACTCCTGAATTCTCACTTCGTAATAACATATTAATAGCTGGCTGATGAAAGGTTTACTGAAGAACTTAAAAATTACTAAAAAGCTACTGCTGTCTGACGTTTCAATAATACGGCTACTATAGCTCATTGTCAAGGCAAAGAGACTGTTTCTTTGAGGTTTGAGTATCATAGCAAATAACAAATATTGTGTTGTTTCTTTCATGGTTAATAATTTAGCGTGAATAGAGTCAGAAGACAACACTGTGTTCGCCTCTTGTTTTCACTGATTTACATTCAAACCACGGTATCGTGGTAGTCTCATCGAAACTTCGGACACGGACAGCCTTCGTTTTTGACAGAAGGAATATTAACGTTTAAGTTACAGAGGCACCTCACTATAAAACAAGACCACCATAAACTGGGGGTTCATGGTTCATTGGGTCGCTGACTGCTGCATAATGCAGTGGTTTATTATTTTGGGGGCTCACTCATCATCTTTCCCGCGCTTTTAGTTGGGAAAATCGACCAATCACAAGCGTTGTGACACATGGCAAGTTGTGACACAAGTCATAAAATTGAATATTTGTCGCAAAAACTTGTAATGCAACAACGTTGTGCGACATGTTGAGCGAAAACGTTGCCCGTATTACTTAACCTTTACGGAGAGTATCCAGAATTTCGTCTTCATCGCATTCCAATTACGTCAGTAACTTAACGTATGACTTATACTTTCTATGAAAACGATCATGGACACTGTAGAAGTAATGCCCATGTCTTCGTCTTCTCCAAGGGTTAGGATCACGGGTCAACGAGGGGAATATGTCGGGGAATATAACGAAGAAAATTGGAGAGAGGAAAATTCACGACATCACTTTGAGTTCCAAGAAAAGGGGTGGGTAGCCTGTGTAGCTGGCGGAATTTGCTTTGCGCTTGTAAGAGCTTTGGCAGCGGAGCCGTCTTCCTCGCGGCTTTGCTGAAGGCGCGAGGAAATTCCGCCTGCCGGATAGCTTGGCTTTTTTGAATGTCGCCCACTTTTAGAACTACGTTAAAACCAATTATAACAGCCAAACAGTTGTATGGGTCTAATGCGAAAGATAAATGTTTCAATCACCAGCACGTGAGTAAACACAAAGCCAGCAAACGAGGACGACCTGAAAGCAAAGTTGCAAAATGAAATGTGTATGACGTAATAGAAAGTAAAATCCAGGGATTTTCTCAAGACAGTGTATCTTTCGAAAGGAAAACTTGCTTCAGCGCTGACAGTAACGAAACTGCGTCAGATTTGTTGTTATTGAAGCCACATTATAACTTGATAGTTCCATAGCTTTGTAAGTTAAAGACTCCCTCTCGGTTATTTGGTCGTCCATAATAATTTTGAGTGGCTAAACAAAGATAGAACAACGTAACTATTTGTGGACAAAATATCTTTCCTCACGAAACCGAAGATCTTGATTATGATATTTTTTTGTTTACAAAAACCATTCGGCAGCCGGCAGCAAATAGATTGTTGCACCGAACAGAATTTCCTTTGCAGCCTCTTCCTATTCTTTCTTTAGCAAAATTTTGCCTCCTTTTTGAGCTGTCTATAAGCCATCCTCGATCAATTGTTGACATTTTTAAAACAGTTATACATCTTTGAGCTTTCTATAGGCCATCCTAGCCTCGGTTCAATGGTTGACATTAAAGCAACATCTCGCAGAAAACAGCACAGTTTAGAAATGTTATGGTTGCTTACGTTTCCCATGGGAGACATGTAAGCTCGCCAAAAGCGTTTGATTGACGTGTTTTTTTCTCAACCAATCAAAAATTTCCTTCCGCGCTCAGTGATCAAACCATTCAAAAAACCATATGATGGTTTTTGAGCAGGCGGGATCTCAAAGCGTCTCCTCCCCATTCTCCGCACGGCTTCACAGTTCCTCTGCCAAATCTTTGCACGCGCTAAATAACAATCCCGCCGGCTACACAGGTTAAGGGGTGAGGGAATTCAAACTTTTGTAAAATCGAAGATCCCACGTGCTTTATCTCTTTCCCCATTTCGTAAATATCGAGACGGTGAATTACTCGTTTTTGAGCCGCAGAATTCTTCAAATAGAGACCTACAGATGTCTTTCTTGAGGACTGGGAATGAACTAGCACAATACCGTGCCCTAATCGAGATGCATAGAACGGTGACTAGGGCTAGAAAAAAATCCAATTTCCAGCGCTATATCCCGCTTATCTTTGTAGGCCATCCTTCTCATCTTTCTTGTAAACTTCTCATTCCTCATAACAAATCGCAGAAAAATAAGCAAGAAAAGGTGCCAAACATATTAAAAATCAGTCTCTCCCTGACCTCCGTTACTGATCTGTCTTTAAGTGCTCTTTTCCTGTCGTGAGTTTTTTGAATAAAAATATCATATTGATTCTCTATGCCAATTAAAGAATGAATGAATAAGTGAAATCTTATCCACAACTATCATAGAAAGCATAGCTAGCAGGATTAGATTGCCCGGGGTCGCGGGGAAGGGACGAAGGAATTTTCCCATTCTTCTTGCGGCTTTACAGCCAAATTCGTTCCACGGGTGCTTTTATAGTTCTTGCTTACAGCCGTTCGCAATAAATTCCACCAGCTTTATGCAGACTACAAGTATCATTAAAATTCCAGTGAATCAATCAAGTGAAGCCTTGTTATTTGAGGCGGATATCAGGAGGAGTTTTCTTTGAGAAGCAGTTGATCCGGGCGACTTTACCTTGTTAAATTCCCCCACCCTTGGGGGAAATTGGCAACTTTGCACCGCCCATTTCACAATCCCCCAGGTTGGCCTGGGGTCCTACCCCAGGGGGAAGCCAATGACATGTGCATAAACCCAAGCAGCGTTACCCTATACACCTGACTAAAATAGTAAAAGGAGTCTCAATCTTTAATTCTTTATGAAAACGTGCAGGTGCTAGTTCTCGCCCTTTGATCTCATAATTTTACCCAATTTTTATGTTCGGGTTTTTCGTCAGACAAAAATTAGTACAATTATAAACTATGAATCGTAAAGTTATATGGTAATGGATTTTTATTGGTCGGTTACTGTGGTTTTCAATATACGCGAACTCTCAAGTTTAAAAGCTAACTACACAATTGTATTTTTCACTGTCGTCAATCATAGAAACGATCACAAGAAACGAACCCTCAAGCACAGAAAGAAAAACAAAAAAACGGATTGAAATCTACCAATCACAGACCATGACCTTATCAGCTCGTTGAACTAATTAAAACTTATGTTTTCTCCGAGGTCCGCTAAGAGTATTGGCGGCAACAAAGAACTCAAACGTTAGTTGGCTTTTGAACTTTAAAGTTCGCTTTTTTTTTACAACCACAGTGAAAACTGATTTTTCCCTAGATCCCAGAAAAATGGCAAACAATAAGTACAGAAATGTTACCAGCACTGAACACTCAGGAAGCGTGAGCTTTTTCTCATCTCTATTTTTCCAATGGATCAACATTCTAATAAAGACAGGGAATGAAAGAGCTGTTGATAAAAATGATCTTTTACCTCTTAAAGAAGAAAACACTACTCGGTTTTTGACAGAAGAGTTTCAGGCAAAATGGACCGAGGAAACAGCTAACAGCAGAATACAGGATGTCAAACCAAAACTTTGGAAAAGTGTATTTAAGATGCTAACGGCGAAGGACTCAGTAATCCTGATTACAGCTGGCATTATAAAAACAATTTGCCGCATTCTCCAGCCACTGCTTCTTGGATACCTTATAAAATCTCTGATGATTACAAGGCTACAACACAATTACTTTCTCTACGGATGTGCTTCCGCATTGGGGATAAATGAATTGATCTGTTCTCTTAGCATGCACCAATTTGACTACCGATGTGACGTGTTTGGAATCAGAATCAGCAGCGCCCTTAAAGGATTAGTCTATATGAAGGTAAATTATTAAAAGAATTAAGATAAAATCCATTAGGAAATTGAGTAATTTCAATTTTCAGTGGACAAAAACCTTGTACCAGAATAATTTCAAGCTTATTGCATTCTTTTTCACACTTTTCAAGGGCTATAAATGTAATAAGTTGTACATGAAATAACTCCGATGAAAACGTTGTTGGAGCCCGAGAAGACAAACTTCAAAAGCCTTAAATTTCCAAAAAAATGAAATCTTATGCATGACGATTTTACTTGTGTTTTCCCAATTCCTGTGAAATTTGAAATGTATTTTCTCGGGCTCCGGTAAGAAATTGTCTTTGGTGTCATTACAGATAACTAATTACATCTAAGGCCTTAGGTTCTGGTACAAGGTTTTTGTCCACTGAAAATTACAAATTTAAAAGTGGATTCTGTCTTAATTCAAGATGTCAGGTGGCCCGAACTTAAAGGTAAATCAAAGGTTACCTTAAAAACACTTATCTGTTAGCGATGGCGGAAAAAGTGAAAAAAAAACGAATGATTTTTATTAGCTTCTATTTACCAACGCTTGTTCTCAAGATAGCTTGTCCTTAAAACGAATAAACTTAACAAAAAAAAAAAACAAGAGAACAAGAGTATAGTTTTTATAGTTACTATGACAAGGACAGAAAAACAACAATAAAAGACAGCTACTAACCTTTTGTATGGGATTTCATGAAGAGGTCCTGGGAAAAGAAAAGAAAAATTGATTCTTTTTATGGTGGCTCCATGGGGCTTTTTAGGGACAATACTTATCAAGTTTAAGTATTAAGTAAATCGCCATTGACAAAGATTTGGGAAAATGACTACCATACCTGTATTAGATAAAGATGAAAATTTCTGGTCATTAGTGTTACAATGACATCGGATTGTCTGTAGCAACGAAATGACGTCATTACCTATGTTACTTGCAGCTTTATTTCTCGGCACTGAGAGGCTTTTTCTCCAAAATCGTTCACGGCAGCGTTTTTCTCCAATAGCTGCCTCGATGTTCGTGAAGTTTGAGTGTTTTGTTGGGTACTGATGTTCACATGAAAATGAATCTTGGAGAAAATACCCTGAATAATGAGACACTGTCACTAGTAAACACGAAATTTCGAACAAGAAATTAGAGCATTGTAGCCCTTATTATATTACCTTACAAGTTGTCAATGATCTTGAAACTAAAAGGTATATAAAAGGACGGTTAATCACGAGAATCTCGAAATCTTAAAATTATGTATGGAACCATTCCAAAATTGTTCGCTCATTTGTTAAAGTAAACCAAACTATTTACGCTAACAAGAGCACCTCAATGAAGGCTAATCAAATCCTGCTTTCTTGAGATAGGCTAAAGCTATCCCAGTGATCTTTTCAAGCAGGTTTTACTATTAGGTAAAATTGCATTTCAAGAGCGCTTCGTTTTCTAAAGAGAACGGCCGAACATCAAGATTGTCCAGAATTTGCTGAATTTCTGATCATAAATTTATCCCAAAAATATCTCGATAACCCTGTCATAGGTTTCGCTCAAACTTCGAGAAAATTGAGGCAGCTATTGGAAGAAAAAGCACCCGTGAAAGATTTTAGAAAACCCTTCCCAGTGTCAAGAAATACAGCTCTAAGTAAAATAGGTAATGACGTCATTTCGTTGCTATGAGGCTCCGATGTCATTGCAACGCTGATCATAAAAAAAATTTCATCTTTGTTTTATAAAGCTGTGGTGGTCATTGTTCAAGTCTTTGCTTATGGCAACGTAGTTTATGTACAGACCTGGGAGGTAATGTCCCTGAAAAAAAACCCTCGAGCCACCTAAAATTATTAGAACATTCGAACTGAAGATGACAACAAATGTCAAAGTAAACACTTCCAAAGTTTTCATTAGAATAGATAATGACTATCATCATCATCACCACCACCATCACCATCATCATCATTAAAATAATCTTTTTAATAACCCTCAACATCATCATCGTCGTTTTCATCGTCGTCGTCATCATCATCACCATCATCATCATCATCAGTCCTTTTCGTGCCCAAAGACACATACGTGGCGAAATAATCAAAAGACCATTCTCTGGATTTTAATTATCGATATACTGTCATAAAAGTTGTTAAAACGGAGCTCTTCTTGCTAGCGACGACCTTATGTAAAGATACATTCATCAACTTTGTGCTTTTTTGCAGACCCTTCTTCTCAGCAAGGATTCATTGCTTAGGTTTTCATCCGGTCGAGTTATTGATCTCGTATCAAACGATGTTCAGCGAATTGAGGGCGATACTTTCCAGTTGTTTTTTGAGGGAGCTCGATCTCTTATGGAGCTCGTAATCGTAACATTTTTACTTGTCAACCTAATCGGATGGCAGGTTGTGATGGGAATCCTTTTACTGTGTATGCTGATGCCATATTTCGCTGGATTTTCCTATGCTGGAGCTGTACTGCGCCTGCGTACAGCAGCGGTTTCTGATCACCGGATCACCTTGATCAAGGAGGTTGTTACTGGGATCCGGGCCATCAAAACCAATGCATGGGAGGATGAATATAGAGAAAAGATAAAAAACGTGCGAAGGTAAGGAAACTTTAAAACAATACACAAACAAAAACACAAACAAACAAACTTTATTTACCATATACTAACGTTACAAAACAATTACCTGGTTAGATTGTCCAGGAAGGAACTAAAGCGACTTGTTTCAAACACAGTTACACATGCAAAAATATTGCTTTTTTGGGCACAAAAATATTTTTTGCGCCCAATAAGAGAAAAGCATTTGAATGAGTCGTGGAACTCGTTCGTTAAGAGCAGCATCCCAGAGGGTCTTTCTCCTGTTCTTTAAAATTTTCGCAGCCATTTTTCGCGACCAACAGACCGCTCCTGGGTCTCCGAGGATGTTGTGGTCGTTGTTCAGAAAGTGGTCTTCTGTTGGTAACGTTTTGTGCCGCTTAAGCCCTTCTACAAGGTCTGGGCATTGTCTCGCTGTGCACGTTATTGGCGTCAAAGTACAGGATTTAACTATAGCTTTTTGTGATAATTTTCTGACCTCCGACACTCCAAGGAGATACCAGCACGGATTCCATTTTCGACAAAAAGGTGCATGCAATCTCCAGCTTAATGTTCGCGCTACAAAACGTTTTCTCCTGCGACAACTTGTACGGGTGCTCTCCTTTTCTCACCAGCAACTCGAGCATTTCTTTGCTGGACTCGTACTGATTCAGAATGTCATCCTTTTTGAGGATGTCCCTTTGGATTTGTCGCTAATTGCACTCAAACGAATTTTCGAGCCTTTTGTGCATCAGCTAACAATTTTCCATAAAATGGAGGTTTCCCAGCGAAAACGTTATGTATGCTCCATATTGTTTGCAATGTAGTTCTCGTCATTTTTCCCAATTTCCTGTAAGGCGTGTTGCGCGTCTAAATTTTAGAGGTTGTGGAAAAATTCCTGGGATTTTTGTCTTTTCTGGGCTGAGCATAAAACGCGTCATGTTGCAATACTCCTGTATCGGTTCGCGTAGTTTAAAAATATTCTGCAAGCAGTATTTAAATGGATAATACGGGTCACAACGTTCGAAATCAAAGGTAAAGCGTGGGCAAGTATCAGCAGTGGGTGGAATCCCCATCTTAGAAACATCTCCATACTGCTACTAAAGAAATTTAGCAAATGTTGTGATACTTCCTTCCTTTTTTATTTATAGCGATGAAATCAATTTGATCGGTAAGAAGAGCGCTCTTATGTCGGGCGTTGCTGCTCTCCAATACATTTCATCACCAATGGCGACTTTTGTGACTGTCATAACTCTTGTACTAACTGGTCAGCCCCTGACACCACTTAACGTCTTCACGTTACTCTCCTTTATTAATCTGCTGAGATTGAGCTTTTGTGGGGACCTGTCCTATGCATTCATCCAATCCTATGACGCTTATGTTTCACTGAAACGAATACGAGACTTTCTTCTGTTGAACAACCTTGAATCAAATAACACCAGGATGTATCAACAGGAAGGAGCAGAAAAATTCTTACCTCACAAGTTAACAGATCCTCCACAAACTAATATCTTAAGCGTGACAAATTTTACTCAGCAAAGGCGACAGATCAGCCTAGACGACGAGTTAGTGCTGCAAGATATAAACTTCACAGTTGAAAAAGGAAATTTAACAGTTATAACCGGGCCAGTTGGCAGTGGCAAATCTACTCTTCTGTCAGCAATTGCAGGTGAGATACCAGACCAGAACTGGGCCATAACCTACAATGGAACTGTTGTTTATGTGCCACAGATTCCCTAGATATTCTCTGGAACTATTAGAGAAAACGTTTTGTTTGGTGAACAGTACGAGGAAGCTAAGTACAACAGAGTCATTGAAGCATGTGCTTTAACTCAAGACATCGAGAAGTTTCCAGACTGTGACCAAACGATCGTTGGAGAGCGGGGCGTGGTGCTTAGTGGAGGCCAGCGGGCGAGAGTAAGCTTAGCACGAGCAGTCTACGCCGAAGGAGAGCTTTACTTGTTGGATGATCCCTTAAGTGCTGTAGACTTTAAAGTTGCTCAGCACATTTATAGGGAATGCATAAAAGGCTTACTCGGACAGAAAACCCGATTAATAACTTCCCATCAAGAACGGGTCATGCGAGAAGCCGATGACGTTATTCCATTATATAAAGGCCGAATGTTGGGTAAGGGAAGTTTCACTGAGCTAAAAGACAGTGGTATCCTGAATACAACTGTTGAATCAATTGATGAGAAAGAAAACGAATCGGATTATATTGTTGGTCAGAAAAGTGAAGACGAAGATCACATTCCTGACATGAGTGGTAGACCTGTACCAAGGGAAGAGCAGGGTCTCCCTTTATCAAAAGAAGATCAAGCCATCGGAGCGGTATCCGCAAGGCTCTACTGGAACTACTTTAGAAGTGGAGTACCTTTGCTGGCAATAATCACAGCAATCTGCTTGTTTCTCATTAGTCAAGGTGAGGCCTTACGATTACCTAAATTATACAGTATCACCTCACGGGAAAAACTAAGATTTTCACTTATTATTATGTTCATAATTATTCATAGTATTATTCATATTCGTTTCTGATAAGCTCCAATCCCCCAGATAATTCTTTTTAGTAAAATCCAACTAATGGTCTTTTATCAATGCTGCGTTCTGATTGGTTGAGCTACTACTACGCTATATGTTATAGTCCCCTAGTAGCGAAAAGCGCGGGCTTTATGGCGGCAAAAAAAGGATTTAAGTCTAGCTTTAACTAGCTAAAAAATTTTTATTCTCGATATTTTTGACCAACTAGTTGGATTTTACTAAAACAATTATTCCTCTCGCCCTCATGGCCTCTGAGTCAATGGCCCATTCGGCCTTCGGCCTCTCAGAGCCCATTCGGACTCGAGGAATAATTGTTAAATAACTACCCGGTGGTTATTTGCTAAAAGATGTAGGTAATATACAACCGATACGTCTACGCCAAAAAAATAGTTCGGTGGAGGTCTTCTACATTTTGAGGATTTTCTACAGCAAAAAATAAACCGTGCCGAGAAACGAGGAAAGTTTTTGAAGAGATTCCACGAAGAGGTAAGGTTGTTAAGAAAATAAAAATATTTCAGTGAATAATAGACCAATTATTGAATTCAGCTTTCATATATCATAAACCGTCCTTAGCCTTCGGCCTCGATGGATAACGCCCGCCTTAATCTGAATTTTTTTTTACATCATACTCAGCCTCATTCCATAATGTTAAGAACTCGCTAAGGGTGATAATATGACTTCGAATGGACATCCGTACTTTAATTTTGACGGATGTGCTTGAAACAGATTCTAGAAAGTCAGTTTATTATTGCATTTTACAAAAATAAAAGTAGCTCAACCACCTTTCTTTTCGTACAATCAAATCGTCCGACTCTGCATCGTCTGTGAAGAAACATATCCTTAGCCAAAATGTCTTTTCTTTTTAGGGGTTACCTAGCGAGGTGAAAATGAGTAAGTGTCCATGACTGGCGCTGGCTATGCACCGAAGTGAACCCATTGTAATTAAATGTCCGCGTAAAAACTAAGTGATGTGTGACGGCTGTTATGAAAGTGCAGACTGCTCTGTCAAAAATGCAAGATTGGTTTTATTGTCAAACTCCGACAGATGTAATTAGAATTTCCCCTCACTAATAAGAAAAGTTTTGAATAAGAATAAGATTTTGCCTTTGCATTATGGCTAAGCTGTCATCGTAAAATGTTTCCATGGCGACAGTGTTGCTCACTTACAGTAGCGTCGTTATGAGATCGTCGCCTGATTTGAGCAGTAAAACACTCCAAAAGGAGTGACTGATAACTAAAAAAGACTGTTAACTACCAGGATTATAGCAAAAACGCAAAGTAAAAGAAAGGCAGAGGGAGGGATGGCATCTAACCTCGCCTAAGAACAAGATAATGATGACTCGTGGAAGAACCAGCAGATCTATACTCGCACAATAGTACGGAAGGGAGAGCAAAAACAAGGTGCGAACCGATAGAATTGTGTTTTTGCTATGATATATCCTATTTTGCAAAGAGAGAAATTATCTTGGACAGTCTGTGATGAGCTCTTCAAAATATAATGAGGGTATCATGTTTATGTATTTAAGTAATTATGAAATATTGAATGGCGCTGAGTATGATAAAGAAAACTATGCCTGTCGGGGAGGGTGTTATGCAACGAGGTCCAAGGCGGAATAAGGGGATGACAGCCTCCGGGAACTACACATCTCCATATCATACAAAAGCCTATCATTATTTTCCTGATATTATGTTTAGCAATCATGGTATACTGCGATGTGTGGCTGTCACGTCTGACAAAGAAACGTCCAGGAGATCAAACGAATGAGTCAGACCTCATCATCTATGGCTCCCTTGTAGGGGCTTCTTTCATATTTCTCTTCATTCGAGCATTTGGCTTCTATCTGCTATCTTTACGATGTTCTGAGTGTCTTCATGATAGAATGGTGGGGGCTATACTTCAAGCACCGGTCTTTTTCTTTGATTCAAATCCCATGGGAAGAATGATGAATCGGTTTTCTAAAGATATTGGAGCCATGGATGAAGTACTACCCAAAACGTTTCTGAGAGCAATGCAAAGGACCTTGCTGATGTTCACCTCAATTCTTCTACCAACTGTTATAAACCCTTGGCTTCTGTTTGCTGTTATGCCAATAGCTGTGTTAGCAGGACTTGTTTCAAGATATTACTTAAAGACGTCAAGAGAACTAAAAAGATTGGAGTCGATTAATCGCAGCCCTGTCTATTCTCATTTTTCGGAAACCCTCGATGGACTGGAAACGATTCGGACAAGAAACAGGGAAGGAAATTTCATGGATGCGTTTTGCAGGTATGTTACGCTTAATGCAGTTTAATCTTTTTTTAATTATCTAAGTTTATGACCCCGAGTTAAATGAGTACATGATTTAAGCTTACTCTGTAGGGGATAAAGTGAGTGCACGAATCCTTTTTAAAATTTAATCCCCCCATGCCAATAACAGGACATTCTTGGACTTAGTTCATATACAATAATGTTACAACACTATCCCGATGTAGTCAAGAGTACCCCTGTTAAAACGACCGATCTCTGCATTCTCTTGGCCGGCATTTTGGTATGTAGGTCTTCAATTTAACAAATTGACGCCAGCTTGACGACAGACAAATAAAAAACTGGCGTTAATTTGTTTTTACACAATAACAAAAGCGCGAAAAAGTCAAATTTGCCGATAAAAATGAAGAAAACAAAACAAAGTTATGACTTTTGTAAACTAGCGCAATGTTAATTGTCAATAATTTTTCTCGCTTGTTGATTGGCTACCGAAGACAAGCAACGGAGTTTCATTGGTTAAAAATTTAACAGGTTGAGTCACGCCACTGCCCTGCATAAATTAGGAATTTATTGTTTTCCAAACTTCTATTCAGAACAAGAATGAAGTCAGCGATGTTTATTGTGTCGAAAAATGGAAGCATTTTAGGGTATCATAAAGTCATAAACTAAGCCCACGGTTAAAAATTATTCCAAGGAAACGGATTTTGGAGCCGCCGTTAAAATAACCGAACAAATCGAAGCGATGTACGGTGGAGCGAGTAGCCAAGCAGTTTTGAAAAGTTGCTAACCGAACAGTACAAACAGAAATCGTGTCACTGTTCTTTACTTCAGTTCAAGTCTTGTTTTTCGTTCTGAACACTTTTCAGCAATATGAACTGCGTTTAATCAAACCAAAAGGGGGGTTTTACACGCATGTAGTCTTCAATTCAACTTACCAGGTGTTTACAAAAAGTTTCATAAGGATTTTTTTAAAAAGTTTGTTTTCCTTTCGGTACAAAGAAACTGAAAAACAATCAGTACTTTTCGAAAGAAAACTACCGTGATTAATGTCTTTATTTTGAATAAACTAGACTTTCAGAATTGTTTTCTTACAATTTTTAACTTCAAAAACATGTATGAATGTTAAAAGCTTATCTGAATCCGGCGCAGTTTTCAAGCAGTACAATTTCCAGCAAATCGTCTTCGCTTTTGGAAACTAAGCGTTCTTGTTTAGTTTCCTCTGCTTTAGCTTTTTGTAGAGAATTCAGTTAGGATGTATGTGTTGCATCAGAGCTATCTGGCTATGTTTCTTAGTAGACAGAAAGTGAATCTTCTACGAAACTAAACTTTGTAAAGAAGTTTGGCATTCGTGCGGCAAATGATCGCTTCTTGCATCACACAAATATTCTGACATAGTCCCTTCTGCCGGGCTTTAACAACCGCGGACCGAGTGGTGGTATGCTAAACATACGACAAAAAGAAGGTCTATAACTACATCCATATGATTGTGTTGTTTTTAGGTACCAAGATATCCATACTCAGTCATACATTATGGTTTTTGCCAGTCAGCGTTGGCTTGGTGTACGCTTGGATTGTCTCTCTGCTCTGTTGACATATGCTGTGGCTCTTGCTGCAGTTTTTGTGTCTCTAGATGCTGGTAAATTCACTAGTACATGTAATGAGAAACGGGACTGGTTATTCCATGTCTATATGTGAGATTCATTTTTTAAGATTCCTTCCACTCTACGCAATGTGCGATGCATTGGAATAGATAAGATGAGATGAGATGATATAAAGCCTGTTTAGACTTAAGCGAGCCTCATCGAAAATGACATAAGTTCTTGAAATGGCAAGGAAAACTTTTCAGAGCTAAGAAATCTGGTCGGATTTTCCCCAATCTTAACAATAGGGCAAAAGACTGTTTCTTTTCCTACATAAACAGTGCCGCTAACTCAGCTTATTGATCGTATCATATATATTCTTACCTGTCTGTCTTTTAGTTTTTTTCGATCTTGCTTAGGTTACGTAATCAGAAGCGGGTGAAAAGCGTGCAGACAGATTAGATTTGTCCCTGGTAGGTGTTCGGTTTTGTTTTGATGGATAATTTTCTCTTTCATTTCTTGCAGCGTTAGTTGGACTCTCTTTGGTTTACATAGTCCAGACCGTGAATCTAACGCAATTTACTGTCCGTCAGTTGACGGAGGTCGAGACTCTAATGACATCAGTTGAGCGAGTGATGACCTACACAGGGATTAAATCTGAACCTGGGTACAAAGTGGAACGAAATCCCCCGGAAATCTGGCCAAATGAGGGAAGTATCGCATTCAAAAACGTAAGCCTAACGTACTATTCAGGGGGTCCTCGAATCCTGAAGAATATTACACTAAACATCAATGGAGGAGCTAAAATAGGAATTGCGGGCCGGACGGGTGCAGGAAAATCTTCTTTCGTGGCGGCGCTGATGCGCATGCCTGAAGCTGGTGGAGATATATTGATTGATAATATCAATATAGGCAGTATCAACCTCCGAGACTCTCGACGGGCAATAACTGTTCTTAGACAAAATCCTTCCCTTTTTAGTGGAACGGTGAGGCAAAATCTAGATCTGATGGAGCAGTTTCAAGACGCAGATTTATGGCGAGCTTTGGAACAGGTGCAGCTGAAAAGTCTTGTAGAGAATCTGGAGGGTCAGTTGGATCATGAATTATTGGAGCACGGTGCAAATCTAAGTGTAGGTGAACGCCAGCTTATTTGCTTGGCTCGCGTGCTGCTTCAAAATAAGAAGATCGTCATCTTGGATGAGCCCACTGCACACGTGGATCCAGAAACAGAGCAAACAATCTGGAAAGTAGTAAGGCAGAAACTGAAAAATTCCACGGTTATCACAGTAGCACATCGCTTAGACACAATTAGAGACTGTGACAAGATTTTAGTTTTAAAAAGTGGGGAAGTACATGTGTTTGATAATTTTGATGTGCTATTGAATAAAAAACGAGGAATTTTGAGCTAAATGAACACGTAACAAAAGCAGCTACATAAAACTGTCCTCCACCCACATAATAGACCATTTGCATTATGGAGACATTTTACTTTTACTACCACAATCCTTTAGGGTTTTGCTTTCTTCTGCAAATTAGGGCTTTTGTTATTCAAATCTCTCTGGGATTACCAAATTTAAAAATGAAAGAAAATACGATATGAATTCTGGACTTAGTAGTAACAAGACGTCTTCGTGCAAATGGCATATTGCGCTGACATTTCAAGGACGTCTCCCATGCCAGCGTAAATTAATTAGCTTTGTCGTAAATTTTCGTACGCAACCGAGTTCTAGCAATCAGAGAGAAGTCAACGATGTTTTTCTTACGTGAAAAAAAATGATACATCCAATCAAAAGCCACAGCGGGACGTGAGTTTCGTGCCAACTTTCCCGCCTTTCATAGTCGCTTCCAGCGCGTCCTTGCTCCGTGAGTGGACCTTATTTACGATACCTGCCATCCTTGCAGGCGCTTAAGGACTGATGGGATGAAAGCAATGAAACTCGCAAATATTTAGAAAAACTGAACTAAGGTTGAATTTTTTCAGTCCAATTTTTAACGCAACTAGTCATGCACAATGTAGCACGGCCATAAAAGCCCACAAGATACAATTCTCTCCGGTCGGCTAGTGATTACAAGGCAGCCAAGGTTTCCACCTTCTACTCAGGCGCCGGGGGTATTCTATCTGCATGAAATCAAGTTCAAGTTCAAAATTATTGTTTTGCTATAAATAATACCCAAAAAAATATCTAAATATTGAAAGCTAATGGCGAGGAAGCCCAAGGGCAACCAAAGGGCTTATGAGGAACAGGCTCCCTCAAATAATTATTACAACGAAGTATAAACAGAAGTATACATGCAAAGTCAGTGGCAGAGTTACAGTAAATATTAGAACATATTAGATTAATCGGGGTTAGGCTAAAAAAAGGAAAGCAAAAGGGAAAAAATGACAATAAAATGAAAATTGATTAGTCTAAGGAGAGATGTGCGAGTGCTAAGGTAACCGTCTTGCTTGTATAACCCTCCCTTGCTGTAAACATTCCTTTAGGGGATCAAATAAAAAAAATGATTTTAATTTTGAAATCGATTTTAAAATTCAATTAATAAAAGTCAGCCCTTAATAATATGCGAAGCGCCTCGAGTATTTTGCCGTAAATATATTTATTAAAGGAAATTAGCCTTGACTTTCTTCAAGACAGAACATCCCCTGTAGCAGAAACAAAAGTTTAATAATTGGAAGAATTTTAGACAGTTAAAAAATGAAGGCCATTACTATTCATAACCCGAAATAACAACGCCAAATTGCAATCCGGCCATGATTTATAGTAGTTGGTTTTGTGCTGATGCTTGGCTTTACTCGTGAAGTTGTATTTATTTTAAAGGACGTCGAGTGGTCAGTTTGACTGACTACGTTTACTCATTTTGCCAAATGTGTGATCTATAACTACAGTACACTTTGAATGTCTTCCGGATGATAATAAAACGGGGAACGGGTATCGAGGAACGATTAACGGGTAAAGGGAATAGTAAAATGGGAACAAAACCTAACTTGAACCCTTGCCCGATCAGTCGCTTTATTTCCATTCTCCCGTTACCCGTACTCGTTCCCTGTACTCGTTATCCGTTCCCCGTTTCAGTAACCATCATTGTCCAAATGACAATTTCTCATTATTAACAAATAAAAAGGTAATGCAAAATTTTATCAAAACGGCTACTTTAGCCAAAGAAAACCGCAGTCGAATCTCCCGTAGACGACCACCCAAATGCGAAGAGTTAGTATTCGCTCACGGAGGTGGTCGCTTGAGGTCTTTTCCGAGAAGAAGTGGGAACACATGGAGAGAATGTACTGCATGCAATTTTCAGGTTAAATTATATGTAAATCCATGTTGTTTTTTAACGTTTTTTTTAAACCCTGAGTAGCGTAGTACACAAAGTCAGACCATTGTATAAAGTTGTCGCTTAGAAGCGGTTAGAAACGATATGGAAAATAAAACTGTCATCCTAAAAAGCGGTCCCGGTTAAAAGTTGATGGTAAAGTAGAGTTTCAGCTATAAGGCTTTGGCTGGGAAACCTTATTGGTGTTTTGGATAAGTGGTCGCTTATGAAAGGTGGTTGCACTTGGAGTTTCGATTGTATTCATGAATGAATAGATTAGGATAGCAAATTTCTAGAAAGCTCTAAATAGTGAAAGATCTCGCCTAAATCAAAACATTTTTTAGGCGCGCTTATCTTAAAGTTTATTGTGGTTATGGAAACAACAAATTTAACGTGTCAGTTTCTGAGAAGACATTAGAAGCCAATGGCGAAGCTACCAATCAGATTATAAACTATATTTGTTATAAACGGTCCAATAACATTCTGCATTCAACACCTGCCTCCTTATATTCCCCGTCTCGTTTAATGAAATTTAGGACTTTGAGATGACCAACTTCGTGCCAGGTTAGTTGTGAGTCTTAGTACTGAATACTGATAGAGCTAGCTAATACTAAACTCTAGTAAGACAGGGGCGGATCTAGGGGGAGGGTGCAGGGGTGCACCCCCCTGAAATGACCTGCGGCTTTCTAATTAACACTCTGCAGTCTGCTTCACAGTTATACAAAATCTGCTTTATCATTTGATATGTATTCTCAGCAGTTCACATTCTGTTATTCCCTAGTCGAAAGCGTTCTTCGTATTCGCTATTAAAATTTGTTTACGTCACCAGTCAATTACGCCATTCCTTAGTAGTGCACCCCTTCCTACGAAAAATCCTGGATCCGCCTCTGTAAGACCACCTGTTTTGAATTAAGATAGGTAGAAATTTATGAGAATTCACATTTCCCCAACTTGCTTCGACATTCTAATTCAGCATGTCATGATTTTTAAAAATAGTTAAATTAAAGGAAATTAAATCAGTTTAAAGTACTCGAAGGGTAACCAGCAAAGCTTGACTAATCTCAAATGCAACGGACCATTTACACTTAGAAGTGGGAATTTTGAAATTCTTAAATGTAGACAATCTTGCATTTTTTGACTGCAATGTCCTCCTTTATGAAACGTCCGGCATAGACTTTGACTTCGTGAATTTGGCGAACAATATCTGATTGTTAGCCTGTGCGGCTTTGAATGGTATATAGTTTTCAGTGAGGAAAAATATCAGGAAAAATATCAGTTGTTTTTGGTATTGAAGCTGTGTTAAAAAAGTTTTGATCCCTGAAAGACTGTAAAAAAGAAAAAAGAAAAAAAAAACAGCCTTGACCTTCTTTAGCTTTGAAAGACATTTACGACTATAACCGTCATCATCAACTAAATCGTATACAAACAGAATCCGCCGTCCTTTGCACTATGGACTTCAGATAGGGTTACCATATGATTGCACGTGGAAGGAAGGTGTAACGGTTATAGACAGTAGCTTAATGTTTCAGGTTTTTAGATTTAGATTTGATGTCATGATTGATTTGATGTCTTAAATGCTTTTTGGTTCTCGAAGACTGCTGTTCATCTCTTCAGGTCGAATCTCATCTAATGGATGTGAATATTTGACTCTGAAGATGATTACTGCACAGGTTGTCGAAATGTCAATCACTGTCAACAACAGTCCTATTCAGGACTAAGTTCACCCGGACGATCATGCGGAACCTACTTGTGAACATTTGTATTGCCAAATTCAAGAAATGGGTAAATCAGTAGCTAGTAGCCAGATTCCAGTAAGGAAAAAAATTTGTAGCGGGTCGAGATGTCCAAAATGCGAGGGTTGGATAGAAAACAAATTCGCAAATTGGTCTCCCCTCCTCTCGTGACGTTCAAATGCATGTTAGGATCAGGAGCGCCACCTTTTTTTTTATGAGGTAGACACTAAGGGGCCTTGGAAACATGCTGGAGACACTTCTCAACTGTAACTAAATGTAGTTTTCCCGTTTACAGCAAGAAAGAATGTAGCTATTGCAAATGTCCTGAAATCGAGATAATCATTTTTCCTTGGTGGTGTATGCTACATTTCAACTGCACAAATATTTATAGTACTGCGTAAGTTCCTTGCTTCAAAACTCTCCTGCTTCAATTATTAGCATTTTTCAAATGTTACTAAACGATTGGCAAGTTATGAGAACTTACTCATAAACACTTCGAGTAGGTCCTTACAAAAAAGCAAATGTTTTCCTTTTCTTTTCTCTCCTTTAGTTTCCTTTCACCTTTTACCCTGTGTAGAGCATGTTAACTTTTTTATTCGATCGCGTTCTTTTCTTGCTGTTCCCATTTCAAAATTGTCATCCGCAACGCCCATAAAATTTGTCGCACTTCGGAAGGAAATAAAAGAAAGCCATTACAAATTTGATATGGACGACGGCTCCAAGGCATGTTTTAACTTCGCTCGATATTGCTCTCCTTTTAAAACAAAAGATTTACGCCTAAAGGGTTGAACGTCACTTTCTTTCGGTCCTAAAATCGGGCGGGTCAGTTTTTATGAATTGTCGGATAGCATTACTTTTAATTTTAGCACAAGATTACCCAGGGAATATTAGTAATGTTAATATTTATGATATAAATACTGATGAAATACCACGATTTTTCCTTTTACTAAAACATCATATCTTCATCGCGCGCAGTGAAGATACTATTTTTATATAACTTTATAACCGAGTTTCATAACATTTTTGTGACAGGCATTTTGCGATAGGTGACCACTTTAATTGCACTATTTTGCTGTTTCGAGGAATTCAAATCTTCCACGATTATCACGATAGCACATCGTTTGAACACGATTAGAGACTGTGACAAGATTTTAGTCCTAAAAAGTGGGGAAGTCGCTGGCTTTGATACGTTTGATGTGCTAATGAATAGAAAAGGAGGAATTTTGAGTGAAATGGATCATGTAACAAAGGCCGCCACATAGAATTTTTTTTCCATCCAAAGAATTAGAGTGACATTTCAAGCCTGTCTTCAATGCCAGCGCTGAAGACTATTTTAGCCGCTAAGGAAGTAATGATATTCTGTGAGG